GCGAATGACACTCACACGGGGGCGGGACCGACGCTGGGCAAATCGAGCTGCAGCGACACGCGAATGACACTCACGCAGGGGGGACCGACACTAGCGTAAGTGACCTTTTCAAGGGGTAAGTGACCTCGATTCGCACCCCCAATGACACTCAAATGACACGCTTTGACACTCAAAACGCCATGTTCTGGCTTTCCGGGTCGGCCACAATCAAATGTGGCAGTTGTCGCACTTTGACACGGGTAGCTCTTCGATTTCAACAGAATCCCAACCCCTATCAAGCCAAAAGGGCACTTAGCAAACGAATCAAAGGGGCACTTAGGCCACCGACACTGCCTTAAGTGCCCTCGATTCAAAAACAGGCCAAGTGCCCTCCATTGGAGGGCACTAAAAATATGCTGGCCCTTTGTATTTTTTGCTTCTTTTTTTTTTGGGGGGGGGGTGGTCCCCTTTGTTTTCCACTAACCAGGCAAAAAGTTGTTTTTTGCCGGGGTCCTAATTCCAGCCAAGTTTCTTGCTTCGTTTCTTCGAGGCGAGCGCGAACCACATGGACCAGTGGATCTTCGCCTCTATGCACGAGCTCATCCAGTTTGTGCGGGAGGCGATGGTCCAATGCTCGCCGGTTTCGCATCAGGTCAAATCTGTTTAGAACCACCCAGTACACTTTCAATAACCTAGACTAGGTCCCCAATAGTGCCCTTTTACCCTTTTTTGGGCGAGGGTTCCCCTACTACAATAGAGTACAGAACAAAGGGTACCCTTATTCGAACCTCTCTACTGAAGGACCTAGGTTTAGAACCCAGTACACTTTCAATAAACCTAGACTAAAACAAGTGGTGCCCACATTGTTGATAACATGCAATGTTTGCCGCTGAGAAAAAACATGGATTCTTCCACTACCAGTTGATTGGGGATTTGTCCAAGCCCGTCCTTTCCGAGTATCTTCCATTGTAAGGGACAGCAGACCTCCGAAGAACGAGCTTCGGACCCTTTAGTTCAGCTATCCAAGGGGTTAGATGGTTCGGAGAAAAAAGACACACCCACACACACACAAACAAACTATTTTGCCACAATAAGCAAACTCTCGGCTCCGCCTACGGAGCCTTTGTTTCTCTGGACGAAACAAACTCTTCTTCTACACTTGTGTGCTTATATTCTTCTGTCGCATGTGCGGCGACGATAGTTTCGGATGGAGAAACACGATGCCGGTGTGAAAGCTTTGCTTCTGTCGTGAACTTGTGTTGCGCCTTGGCAAGCCTTTGGAAATCCCGGCATGTCTAAATTTAAAACTTGGAAAGCAAATTGGAGAGTGTGGATTGTTGTTTTATGGGAAAGTCTTGTTGCAATCTAGCGGACAGAAGGGTCCAATCTGTCTTCATCCGGGATTAGCATTAAAGTCCCGACACATGGGCATCTCTCAAATTTGAAGAAAGTGTTGAACAGGAGCACTAAAATGAAGCCGCTCAGCTTTGGGGTCCCCAACACCTCCCCCAATGCGGGGTAATTCGCGTTCGCCTTTCGATGTTTCCGTTTAGAGTAGCAAAGTACTCATAGGGAAGGTGGTCCCACTGTATCACAGAAGGGGCAGCCAACACCCCGCCCTGGAATAGATTTCGGTTTTCCTTGTGGTTTCCCGTCAGCATCAGCGTTTAAAACGGGCATCCTCAAATGCCACACGCCTTGTGATTCCTCAATTTATATACCATGACCGCTTTTTGTTTTGACCCACCTTTCAGACCTTCTGGAAGAGAAGTGTTTCGACTAGCAAGCACCATATCCAGCTTTTGGCAGGCGTCAACGCTCGCGTAAGCCTTTATGATTGCATGGGTGTTGCGTCCCCTTTTTCTGTGCCCACTGATGTGACAAGACCGCGCTGGCATGCGATCAAGGTTTTCGCAAGCTTCTTGGCCAGTCCTTGCGAGAAGTGCCTAGCTGTGCTGAAAGAGGTAGACGAAGCTCGGGCTCTTGACTGGCTATGCCGCCGATATCGGCAGACCTATGGGAAGGACCGAAAAAAGCGGCACTATCTGGCATTGCTGGTACACTACCTGAATGGCAAATGGGAACGCAGAAAAGTGCTGCTGTATCTCGAGAAGCAAGGAGTTTCGAACACGTCGGCAAATGAGGCTACGAAAATCAAAGCTGTGCTGCAGGAAGAGAACATCAAGTTCGCTTGGATTTACGAATGTGGAACAGTTGAACAGACGCAACTGGCTTTGCTGCGAACATATCTAGTGACAGGCGCTTGCAAGGCGTTTCGTGCTCGGCGCATATGTTTCATTTTGTTCTCAGAATTAGCCTCTAAAACAGGCCCCAAAACAAATGTTGAGAACCCGTTGACATGCTCACTTCAACACACATAGCGTCCATAGGTGTCCTTTCCAGGTGAGCTTGGCTAAACATCGATGGTGGGCTTAGATGGGGTTTATGCCTCATTTGCCGCCATCGATTTTTCCCCAAAGGCCGCCTACAACGGTCTCTGTTTCTGTGGTTGCATCCACCAAGCGGATGGGAAGCCAAAGGAACAGCACGCATTTTGGGTCGTCCGGGGCATGCCTTATATGGCATTTGGTGTTGGGTTCCCTTAAAGGTGTATCCCTACGGTTCCTTAGCCATGGAATTTCATTTTGGAGGTCCAGCCTGAAAAGCACCACATAGAGGGAGTGAAATGGCGTGAGTGGGGAGTGACATCCATTTTGGGCTGCCCGATTTCTAAAGGAGCCCGGATGGTTCTAAGCTCGCAAACAGGCTTGTCGCCCAGGGGATTTCCAAAATGGATGGTGCGTTTTCAGTCCCCTTTCAAGACCCAAAAACGGAAAAAGAAACCATAGTTCTGGCTTCCCTTGTGGTGTCTCTTTAAACCAAAATGAAGGGGTACCGCTGGATTTTTGAAGGCACCAACGATTCATGAAACGGATTTGGAGTCATCGCTCGCAGGAGATGGAGGCGTACCGGCTGTACACTGTGGTCCCGCGACTGGTGCCGGGGACCCCAAATCGCTGGAGGCTTACTGCGTGCTGGTCCTAAGGCCTGTTTCAGGATGGGGTTGCTCCAAGGGTTGTTTTGAGGATTTAGTTCTTGGACGTTCGGCCAAGTGGTTAGCCACTTCTTGGCGCATCATAGCTGTCCGGTTCGTTAGGGTTCTAGGCTTTTAGGGTTTAGTTCAGTGGTTGGGTTTCCATTTATCCCACCAACAGTTGAACCTTTAGCAGGGAATCTGAGGACAGCCAAGACTTGGGTTGCAACCCTAACAAGGTTTACCCCAGGGGGACTTGTGAGTAGGTTAGGACCTAGGTTATCTCACTAGCTTGGACAATTGAACAGCCAATTTGACTATCCTATGGCGCTACGAACCAGGATGTCTCCAAGGTTTCACAAAACTGTGATAGGAACCACCAAGCCAACCCTCCCAATTTGCGGCCAGGTAAGCCACTCTCAAAACCGATTCGGGTAGATGAAGGTAGGGACAATCCCAACATTCCCAAGAATACATGGTGCGGCCCTAATGAATTCCTTTCAGTGGGCACACCATTTGCAGACCATGTACCAGCTTTTGATTATGACTCAGGTGGCCATTTGGTTTCCAGACTCGGCGCAACCCCTGTCGGTGGGTAGGGCACGCTTTCTTAGGCACATGTCGCAGCGGGGTTCGGCTGCCCAAGAACTGGCGGCTTGTTGTAAGAAAAAGGCATAACAAGTCACTCGCGATCACAAGACAAGCATAGTTATAGCTTCGATTGGACAAAGACTTGTGTAAACCACCCCCTTGTTTTCTTGAAAGGTGAAACAACAGGTGTTGAAGCAATATTGGTGACCCTATGTTCAAGCATCGCTGAGTGGAGATAAGTGGGTGACGTTGAAGAGGAACATATGGATGTGCGTTGTTGTGTAAGTTTGAATTTCGGACTCTTAGGCAGACCTCATATGTCCGATCACTTTCGATGAGGTTGACTTTTAACGGTTCACAGCCATCGGGCCGCTGGATGGCGCAGCTTTTTAGAACGCGCCTCTGCTTAGATGCTTCTATGGGTACCTTCCTCCATCTTTCCAGGCATCCTTCTTTCCAAAAAACCACCCAAAACCCTGGGGAAATAGCTGGTTGTTTGAAAACAATGGGGGGGTCAAGCCCGAGAATGCTGGACTCTGCTGAACATGCGCTGGAATGCAAGGATTCGCCACGGCCCGATGCAAGGCTTTTACACCAAGGCTTGCCGTCTGCCGAGCGTCCGACGTGTGTGAAGGACAGGGTGGATTGATGTTGTGGTAGTGGCGCCGGTCTTGCAAGGGGCTTAACCAATGCCAAGGAGCACGGACCTTGGCAGTATCATGCCTGTAGGAGTGCTTGTGTACACTTAGATGTATATTCATAGACGCTTGTGCATGCGTATAGATCAGCAAGTAAGTATCAGTATGTGTGTGTGTACCCAGAGAAATTTGTATATATACATATCTCATATCAATATATAAGACTTATGTATAGTGCTAATTACACATGAGTTTGTCCCCCCTCACCTCACATATCCGGTTTTTCTGTGGTGTCACATGAGAGGCGATGCATCGCTTTGCCGAGGAACTTCCTGGATGACCTGACCAACTGGTGACCCACTCAGGGGCTAATGGGGAGTGAGTGAGCTATAAGCCCCTCTCCCGTTAGGGAAGTTAGCAGGGTTTCGGGGGTTTGTCGGTGGGGCGTGGGGATTTGCGGAAGCTGGGAGCTGGGGGAGATGCGATTCGGAAATTGTCGGATGCCAAGTCCAGCTGATGATCCCTTGCAGAGTGCCAAAAGACTGCAATGGAGTGGTGAAAAACGTAACGTGTGACACCTGCAGGATTTGGCATCCAAATTGTCTACTGATTAAACAGCTGTCCCTGTTCGATTCACAGCAGCAGCCGCCGGCTGAAAATCTGCGGAACAAATACGTATATATATATATATATGTATATTATATATATATATATATGCATATAAACATATTTTCCCGAGCATTTTCCATTTTGCCTGGAGCTGTTTCTCATTTTTCGCCGGCCTCGTCCCTTCGGACCATTTCCGTCGGCTCGCGATGGCGGATCCGGCGCTTCGGCTGTTCCATGCGCTGCTGGTGACGATGCTGGCGATTCTGGCGGGCTTCATATGCGTGCGCTTGGAGTTCGTGCGGCCAGAGAAAGGAGACCACTGAGGGGGGGTGAATTCTGGGATCTGAATGTGCAGTTCTGGGGGTTGGTTCCGATTCCATTCTCTTCAGCCATCGTTCTTTCCAAAAACCGGATCCGTTTATCCTGGGTGTCCGGAGGTTTCTGGATGGCAATATTCCAACTGTTCTAGGGGTACCTTCCATGTCCATTCTGAATCCAGGGATCCTTCTTTCTAGAAAACCTCCGGAAATCCAGGAAAAACAGCCGGTTTTTGCAAAGAACGACGGTTGAAAATAATGTTTGGAATCAACCCCTAGAGGGGTTCCCTTCTGGGATCTGCATGTGTAGTTGGAATATTGCCATCCAATTACTCTGACCGCGGTGGATCTGGGATGCTGGGATGTGAATGTATTTGTCCCACCCCGTAAAAACAAAAAACAAACAACCGTGGACAAGCTTGAGGTTGATCTTGGCCCGATTTGGGATTCGAGATCTGGGAGTTTGGGGAGGACCCGCCGGCTCTATGTGTTTTTTTGTTCTTTGTGTGGTTTCGGAGGGAAACAAAAAGGACAACAACATGTTTGTTTCCGAAGGTTGCGGGATACTATCAAATCAAGCTACCGCATGGGGGCAAGATGTTGTTCTTTAGCCCCTCCTATTGCACGCCAGTCTCTGAAGCAGGGATTGATCCTGGGATTTCTTCTGATATAATTGACAAGTACTGTTTACCAATTTTGTGGTGTATGTTGCTTGGATGTTAGGACTTTGACTGTTTTGCCAATGAATGGGTTTTCCATTAAACCGCTAAAAGTTAAACTTATTGCAGGGGAGCAGAAAGCAACCGAGAAACATGGACCAACATCTGAAGACAGTTTGGTTGATTGGGGGCAACAGCTGAGGAAGGAAGGACGAGCAGGTAATGGCAAAGTCCCTGCAGCCAGAGGTGGGCGATGTTCGAACATTCCCCAAACAAAGACACACCCGAATGTCTGGTTTTTGAGGGTGCCCCCGTTTTGGTGGTTTTCAAGGGGACCAAAAGGACATCCCACCATTTTGTGGGTCCCTACAGACAGACCCACCCATCTTGACTGCTATTGGGTTGGATCTTTAGACTTTAACTTTTTGGGAAATAAAGGTGTTTTCCACTAAACCCCCCAAAAAGTGAACAACTTGTTGCAGGGTGCCCCCCCCCCTTTTTGTTGTTTTCAGGAGAACTCACCATTTTGTGGGTCCCTGCAAACAGACACACCCGTTTTGGGTCCCCAAAATATTATTGTTCGCTTGAAAGAGGAGAGCTGAAGGGCCTAGCCTTCTTCATCGGCGCCATCTCCTTCCCTTTGCTCATCTTCAACACCGTGGCTTCGCTGTCGATGGGTTGGACCCTGCTACCCAGAAGAAAGTTGGAATTCACCAACTAGGTCCCCAGTAGTGCCCGTTTACCAACTTTTTGGGGAGGGGTCCCCTACTAAAATAGGCTACAGAAAAAAAAGGGTGCCCTTATTCTAACCTCTACTGGAGAACCTAGCCAACCATCATTTTGGGTTGCAGCAACCCATGTTTAAGGGAATTTGAGGGTCCAGATATATGATTTTAGCTTCCGTTGTTTCTGTTCTTGGAAGGGTTTTAAGGTTCTATTGTTGGTTTGCCTTTTAGTTTTTGTTCTTGATATGTGCATCAGTTTTGCGCTTTTGTGGGTTCTGTTCATCCACCTTTTAGATGGTTCAACTGTGAAATCAGCCCAGAAAGGCTGAACCAAGCCTCACATTACCACGCTCACGATTTCCCCGCTGACCAGCACCCGGGTCTACTCCAAGACATGCCAAGACCTGTTTGCTTGGGTTCACGCCAACCCGCCGAGCCATCTGGCTGCAAAGGGGCTCCAAACCATCAAAGGGAAGCTGATCGTTGGACGGTATGAACGTTTAGTGTGGAGATGTCTTTATTTTCGTCAAACAACATGCGTGCCATGGTCAAACGACCGGTTTCTTTGCCTGGGGTTTACAGGGATGGTCATCTACTTGGTAGTAAGGAACTTTAAGTATTGGAATGACTCCTGAAAATGGAACCATGACCATGAATCGTTTCAAGAGTTTTGACCACAACAGCTCCCCTTGAGAAGTTTTTTTTTTTTTTTTTTTTTTTTTTTTTTTTTCGGGCGTTTGGAGCAACAAGAATCCTCAAACCCCTTTTTGGGCTTGATTTAAGGGTCTTTTGGGGCTGCTACATTGTTGCATTCGAGACCCGGAAGGGAAACCAGCAACTGGTCAACACGCAGCGCCACCACCTTCGTGGGCTTGCAACCCACCATGAAGTCTTCTCTCAAAAGGTGGTCTGTGAATTCTTATACTCCCCTATACATTTGCGTGGAACACAGAACGCCATCCTTTTGGCATCGGAATCTTCGCTTGGGGGACCCGAAACCCCTTTTTTGGGTTTGGTAAAAAGAAAAGGGGGGTTTTGAGCAGCCCCCCCAAACATCCGATTGTCATGGCGGATTTGGCCAAAGAATAGCTGCCCTGGGCCTTCGTGTCGTGGGGTTCGGACTTGGCACAAGACTTTCAGGGTTCTAGGGGTTGATTCCTTGTCCATTCTTTTCAACCATTGTTCTTTCCAAGAACTGGACGTTTTCCCATGGCTTTCCGGAGGTTTTCTAGAAAGATTCGGATCCCTTGAAGGTACCCCTACAAAATTGCCCACGTCTAGACTCTAGTCTGGACTACAGTTTTTGTTCCCCAACAGCCGAAAGCTGTAGGCCCAGATACGGGTTACGCTGGCTTCTTCTGTAGTTGTTGTTGGTGTCAACACTGTATGGGAAATGTGGGTTTGTCTCTATCTACAGGCGGACCCCAAAATGGCCACGGTTTCCTTCTAGCTTCCCTTTAGAACCACCAGGTGCCTGTCAAAAAAACAAGACACGGCTATATACCTCAGGGATGATTGAAGGAGAAAGGCTTCCCCAGCAACTGCTATTTGGACAGCGCTGAGGGTTTCGAATAGGGCAACAAAGGCAGTCGTTGGAGGGTGCTGGTTTTTGGCATCTCATTTTGCCTTTTTAGATAGACACCCAACTGAGTCCAGGGCATCCCTTTTTTGGATGATAAGGGAAACCAAAAGCGAAACAACCATTTTAGGCCAGGCCCTTATTGTAGTTTCCCCCATGAAAGTGGGAAGCATCGCTGCCACTGTGGATTTACGAAATCCATTCCAACTACCCTCAAAAGAGCTGCATTGCAGAAAAAGTTCGGGGGTTGTCCCCCTGTACAAAAAAGTCGTCTAACCGAAGCCAGAACATGCGCTCCTTTCATCGCTGCCACATGCGCAATCCAACTGACCGGGGCCAGCTCAGGTGGCCACCGCAGAGATCGCTGCGCTGGACGTAGCAGTGATTGGCGCCTGCAGCCTGGGCAAGGCGCGTGGGTCCCAAAAGAAAGTGAGCAGGGGCCGTGGTTTGTATGTGTGTGTGTATCTGAGTGAATGTGTGTGAGTTTTTCTAGTCTTGTTCTTGTTTGTTTGGTTTGGTTTGGTTTGGTTTGGTTTGGTTTGGTTTGGTTTGGTTTGGTTTGGTTTGGTTTGGTTTGCTTGTTTGTTTTCTTGTTTGTTTTGTTTGTTTGTTTGCTTGCTTGTGTGTTTTGTTTTGTTTTGTTTTGTTTTCTGTTCATTGTTTGTTTCTTTTTGTGTCTTTTTTGTTTGTTTGTTTGTTTGTTTGAATGTTTGTTTGTGTGGTTGTTTAAACTGTTTGTTTGTTTGTTTGTTTGTTTGTCTGTTTGTATGTTTGCTTGTTTGTTTGTTTGTGTAATTGTTCTTTGTTTGGTTGTTTTGTTTGTTTGTTTGTTCGTTTGTTTGTTCGTTTGTTTGTTTGTTCTTTCGTCTTTTTGTATGCCTTGTTTCCTGGTTTCCTGTTTTTTTTTTTTTTTGTTTGTTTATTTTGTTTGTTTGTTTGTTTGTTTGTTTGTTTGTTTGTGTGATTGTGTGATTGTTCTTTGTTTGTTTGGTTGTTTTGTTTGTTTGTTTGTTTGTTCGTTCGTTCGTTTGTTTGTTTTTCCTTCGTCTTTTTGTATGCCTTTTTTCCTGGTTTGTTTGTTTGTTTGTTTGTTTGTTTTCTTTTGTTGTTTGTTTACTTTGTTTGTTTGTTTGTTTGTTTGTTTGTTTGTTTGTTTTTGTGTGTTGGTGTTCCTGATTTTTGGGCTTCTTTGTTTGATTGCCCTCAATCCGGTTGTTGTCCTTGTTGTGTTTTTGTTTCTCTCTTTCGGTTTCTTTGGGCTTCTTGGATTCCCCGCCTAGTTTGGGTTTTGGTAATGTTGACCCCGGATTAATATACCCTGTTTATTAATATGGGTGGATTTCCTGGTTTTAGTGGGGATTCAGACCACTTTAGGGGACCACTGCCACATGATTGAGCTGTGTAAAAGAACATATCCGGGGTCGACAATATCTCAAGTAACCCTTACTTAAGCTGCCCCCTAACCACCAAACCATCAATTCAAGGGAAGCTGAATATCTTGCTTTCTTTTGGCATCTTTTGTTGTTCTCTCGTCGGGCTTCTTGCCTCGTGTCCTTGTGTTGGCCCCATTTTTTTTGGTTGTTGTGCAGTTGGTTCTTTTTCAAGGCCTGTCACTGGCTTGCTTGGTCGGCCTGCTGCTTTTCGTGAAGTGTTTTGTTTCTATTGGGTTTCTGTGTGGCTGCCGCTTTGTTTCTCAGTTGGTTTTTTCTTCAGGGCCTGTCACTGGCCTGCTTGGTCGGCCTGCTGCTTTTCGTGATTTTTTTCAGTATAGAGATTATTGTAAACGCTTCGCGTTGCCCGCCTCGGCCCAGCCTAGTTTGAGGGAAGGGTCAGGAACACCGAAATCCAGTGTTGGGAAGGTCCGAATCCTACTGAGAGCTTGTGACCGCACCAGTTCGCCCGTGCAAGTTCGATGTTCGGAAGCCGTCCGCCATGGGTGGGTTGCTGGCTGCGGGGCAGCCGGACTACGCTGTTGGTTGCGCCTGGAGCTGAGCTGTGCTTGGGCGGGTCGCTGGATGGGCAAGGCCTGTCTCATACACACTTGGGCCTGAGGCTGGGTAGCGAGTTGCTGGCTGGGCTGGGCCTGAGGCCAGTCGCATACCTTAGACTGCGCCGAAGGGGCTGGGCCTGCTGGATGACTTGGGGCCAGACACGTCAAGGCCTGGTCAGCTTGGGCTGAGCTGCTTGGGCAGCCGGACTGGGGGGCTGGGGCACGTCAGACAGGCTTGGTAGGCGTAGCTTGAGACCAGTCTCAGACACGTGAGACTGGTCGTTGGCCTGATGCCAGTCTCAGACACGTTAGACAAACACGCTGGGCTGATGAGCCTGGCCTAGTGGCTGGCATGCCCTGAGATGCGCCGGGGCCTGAAGCTAGTCTCAGCCACGAGGCTGCGAAGCCATGTGTGGGTTGCTGGCAGCCGGGCAGCCGGACTACCTGCTGGTTGCGCCTGGAACTTGGGCTGGGCGGGCTGGGCTGAGCTGTGCTTGGGCGGGTTGCTGGATGGGCAAGGCCTGTTTCATACACACTTGGGCCTGAGGCTGGGTGGCGAGTTGCTGGCTGGGCTGGGCCTGAGGCCAGTCGCAGACACGTAAGACACGCCAGCAGGCGGGCTGAGGGACTTGGCCTGAGGCTAGTCTCAGGCTGGCATACTTTGAGACCAGTCCGAAGGGGCTGGGGCACGTCAGACAGGCTTAGTAGCTGGCGTAGCTTGAGACCACTCAGATACGTGAGACTGGTCGTTGGCCTGAGGCCAGTCTCAGACACGTTAGACAAACCTGACGTGGCTGGCATGCCCTGAGATGCGCCGGGGCCTGGCTGGGCAGGCTGGGCTGGGCTTGCTGGATGACTTGGGGCCGTGCTTGCGGGTTGCTGGTTGGGCTAGGCCTGTTTCAGACAAGCTTGGGCCTGAGGCTGGGTGGGCTGGGCTGACAGGCCTGGCCAGCAGGCGGGTTGCGGTTGGGCTGGGCCTGAGCCTAGTCTCAGACACGTCAGACAGGCCTGGCCAGCAGGAGGTCATGCTTTTCAGGACATTTTTTTTTTTAGTGCCCCGAAAATTTCAAGGCCCGCCGGACAGGATTTTGGGCCAGCCGACATGGGTGGGGGGGGTGAGCACCCTTCCTTTTTTAAGGCCGAAGCGAATTATTTTTTGTTTGCTGTCTGTGGCTGCTGTTTCTTGGTGAAGTTGGATTTGTTTCAGGGCCTGTCACTGGCCTGCTCGGTCGGGCTGGTGATTTTAGCAGTGGGATTTGTTGTATAGGGCTTCGAATTTGCTTGTTGTGTTTCAATGCCACTTTTTTGGTGCAGTTGGATTTCAGGGCCTGTCACTGGCCTGCTTGGTCGGCCTGCTGCTTTTTCTGAAGTTGGATTTTTCCCGAGGGCTTCCAGTTTTCTTGTTGCTTGTGGCTGCCGCGTTTTTTTGTGTGTATTGTTTTTATAGGGGCCTGTCACTGGCTTGCTTGGTCGGGCTGCTGCTTTTCGTCGCTTTTCGTGAAGTTGGATTTGTTTAGTAATGTTTTTTGTGCAGTTGGATTTTTGCTCAGGGCCTGTCACTGGCCTGCTTGCTTGGGCTGCTGCTTTTCGTGAAGTTGGATTTATTTAGTAGAGCTTCCAATTTCTTGTTGCGCGTGGCTGCCATGCTTTTTGTGCATGCTGTCACTGGCCTGCTTGGTCAGGCTGCTAATTTTCGTGAAGTGGTTTTTTTGTAGTAGGGCTTCTAATTTGCTTTTTGTGTGTGGATGCCGCTTTCTTGGTGCAGTTGTTTTTGTTTCAGGGCCTGTCGCTGGCTGCCTGGTCGGGCTGCTGCTTTTCGCGTTCTTGTTTTGTTAGTAAAGCTGCTGATTTGTTTGTTGTGTGTGGCTGCAATTTTTAGTTATTGCGCAGTTGGATTTTGTTCAGGGCCTGTCACTGGCCTGCTTGGTCTGCTGTTTTTCGTAAGTTGGATTTTTTTGATTTTTTAAGAAAGAGTTGCTAATTGCTTGTTGTCCGTGGCTGCCGTTTTTTTGGTTCAGGGTCTGTCGCTGGCCTGCTTGGTTGGGCTGCTGCTTTTCGCAAAGTGTTTTTCCGATTTCTAATTTGATTGTTGTTTTTGCCTGCCTGTTTTCTGCAGATGTTGTTGGCAACCTTGCTTGCGAAGAGCTGTTGCCTCACGCAGTGCGGTGGACGGTGGGCGGGACATGCGGGTCATCAGGCGGGCCATGCAGGCCACAGCCGGACCAAGCAGGCCAGCGACAGGCCCTGAAGAAAAGCAACTGCGCCAAGAAAGCGGCATCCACACAGCCCTACCACTTCAAGAGAATCAGCAGCCCGACCAAGCAGGCCACTGACAGGCCTAGAAAAAATCCAACTGCACAAAAAGCATGGCAGCCACACACACAACAAACAAAATAGCAACTCTACTCCCAGACGCTCCCAACTCATGTTTCGGGCCCTTGGGCCCTCGCGGGCCCTCGCGGTCGTAGGAGGTTTCGGGCTGGTGTTTTTGGGTGGCCTTTCGGATTACCATCGGATAACCGTCGGATAACCGTCGGATGGCCGTCGGATAGCCGTCGGATAACCGTCGGATAATTGGGCCGGGGCCCCCAAAACTGGGGGTCTACGAGGGCCCGGCGTCGGATACCATCGGATAACCGTCGGATAACCGTCGCATAACCGTCGGATAGCCGTCGGATAACCGTCGGATAGGGGAGGTGTGATTCGAGGCCAGTTTGGTCGATCAGCGATCCATTGATCCCGTCCGGATTGCACTAGGGGCCCACAAGGCCCCGTATTCGACAAACAGGCGGGTCCTTTCAGGAGGGAGGGCCCCGGACCCTCCCTAGGAAGCCCCACTTCACGCAAAGCAGGAGCCCAACCAAGCAGGCCAGTCACAGGCCCTTTAATTGTGCAAAAAAACGGCATTTGAACTGATTGAACTCCCCGTGTAAAGAAACATCACTTTTGGGACCCGGGATTTTGATTTTTTGAACTGTTTGAACTCTGCAAGTACAGAAACATCACGTTGGGGACCCAGGATTTTGAACTTTTTGAATTCCCCAAGTAAAGAAACATCACTTTGGGGTTTGAACTTTTTGAACTCCCCAAGCAAAGAAACATAACTTTCGGACCCCGGGATTTTGAACTCCCCAAGTAAAACACCCGGCGGAACAGCACTTTCGGGACCCGGGATTTTGAACTTTTTGAACTCCCCAAGTAAAGACACATCACATCACTTTGGGGACCCGGAATTTTCAGCGTTTTGAACTTTGTTGGTCTCCCCAAATCAGGAACTAGGATTTCACAACCCGGGTTTTTTTACCTTTTTGTTGGTCTTTCAATCTCCCCAGCCCAGGAACTCAGATTCGAGGGGCCCTGGATGTTGACCTAGTTGGTTTCTTCCAAAATTCGCAAGTAAAGAAGCGCGAATTGAGCGACCCAACTTGCGTAACTTCCGCCAACCCAAACTAAATGAAACAAGCGGCCCCTCCAAACAACCAACCCAAACTAAATGAAACAAGCGGCCTCCAAACAACCAACCCAAACTCAATGAAACAAGCGGCCGCTCCAAACCAGCAACCAAACCTAATGGAAAACCGGCCCCTCCAAACCACCAACCCAAACTACAGTAAATGGAAAAGCGGCCCCCTCCAAACCACCAACACAAATTAAATGAAACTAGAACCATCAACCCAAACTAATTGGAAAAAATGGCCCCTCCACACAACCAACCTAATCAAGCCAGCAACCCAAACCAATGGAAAAACGGCCCCCTCCAAACTACCAACCCAAACCAAATAGAAAAAACAGCCCCTCCACGCAACCAAAAACGAAACTAAATGAAACAAGCGGCCCCTCCAAACCAGCAACCCAAACTAAATTACAAAAGCGGCCCCTCCAAACTACCAACCCAAGCTAAATGAAGCAAACGGTCCCTCCAAACTCCAAACCAGCAACCCAAACTAAATGGAAAAAACAGCCCCCTCCAAACTACCAACCCAAACAAAATGACAAAAACGGCCTCTCCAAACCAGGAAATGGAAAAGCGGACCCCTCCGACCAAACCACCAACGAAAATTAAGTGAAACTAGAACCACCAAGCAAAAGTAAATAGAACAAGCGGCCCCTCCACACAAACAACCCAAACAAAATGAAACAATCGGCCCCTCCAAACCAGCAACCCAAACCAAATGAAAACAGCGGCCCCCTCCAAACTACAAACCCAAACTAAATGAAACCATTGTCCCCTCCAAAACAGCAACCCAAACGAATGAAAAACCGGCCCTCCAAACCACCAACCCAAACTAGATGGAAAAGCGGATTCAATGAAACTAGAACCATCAGCCCAAACTAAATGGAAAACGCGGCCCCCTCCAAACCTCTTCTTTGCAAAGCCAGGCCTTCCCCGCTTGTGGGTTCTCAGACGCGTATTTTATTGTACCAGGTCCACATTGTATTGCGCCAGGATGATGCCATTGTTCGGGTTATGATTATACATGGCTATGGTTTTTAAGGGTGTAGCGAGAGAACAGTGCTTGACACTTCCACAATTCCAGCTCAAAAATTGCATTTTTTTATTCACCCGGCTGCAACGTTTCTTCTGCTGAAGGGCAAGCTCTCTGCAAGTTATTTACATGAATTCTGCTGTTTTAACTGTGTGTTGTTATCTTATTTTCCATTTGTTGTCTTATCTATATGTTTGATCTTTTATTAGTTGTCATTTTTTTCTGTCTTTATCTCTTCCTAGTAAAAGAACTAGTAAATAATTACTAAGTTCAGATTAAGTGTCCGGTATCGAGACTATCTATTTGCTTTCTCTAATCTGCGCTATCTTGCCAAGAGCCTTAGCCCCCCCCCCCCCCCAAACCAGCCCGAGGGCCCGCGAGGGCCCGCGAGGGCCCGAGGGCCCGAAACGTGAGTTGGGAGCGTCTGGGAAACAAGTTTAGGGCACTTTGAATTGTTCAATGCCCGCAAGAGGTTCGGTGAAAGTATCCGTGGTCAATAGGATGGGCTCTCTCGAAATCTACAAGCATTTTTAAGGCACTTTGAATAGTTCAATGCCCACAAGAGGTTCGGTGAAATTCTCCGTGGTCAGTAGGATGGACTCTCTCGAAATCTACAAACAAGTTTAGGGCACTTTGAATTGTTCAATGCCCACAAGAGGTTCGGTGAAGTTATCCATGGTCAATAGGATGGACTCTCTCGAAACCTACAAACAAGTTTAGGGCACTTTGAATTGGTCAATGCCCACAAGAGGTTCGGTGAAATGATCCGTGGTCAATAGGATGGACTCTCTCGAAATCTACAAACAAGTTCAGGGCACTTTGATGAATTGTTCAATGCCCACAAGAGGTTCGGTGAAATTATCCGTGGTCAATAGGATGGACTCTCTCGAAATTTACAAACAAGTTTAGGGCGCTTTGAAGTGTTCAATGCCCACAAGAGGTTCGGTGAAAGTATCCATGGTCAATAGGATGGACTCTCTCGAAATCTATAAAATACGTCACGGGGGACTTGGGATTATCCAATGTCCACGTAGCGTGACCGCATATGTTGACGGCGGGTTTTATTTATATGAATGCTTGTCAGTCTTATTTGCAGTCTAAAGTTGGTTTGGGTGTGGACGAGAAGGGGGGCGCCCGAAGTTTCCCGCAAACTGCAGAGTACCGGATTTTCCCACGCCCTTTGGAAGCAATGAGTCATACTATGTCCTGAGTTCATAACAAAAAACATCCCGAAGATGCTTATGATATACCACCACTGGGATGGTGTGGCCCCAACAGTCAGCTTGGGCGCTTCAAATGGGTCCTGAAAAGGGCCTGTGGTGTGCGTTGATTAGTTGGGTGCAGCCGTTTTTTTTGGAAGAAGCCTCCAAGGGGTTCAACATGGCCATGTTGGGCTTAATTTAAGATTGCCGCTGGGAGGTAGAGATTAGTGAAGTAAAACAATTGCGAATGGAAATAGTGAATGGGAATAGTGAAGTAAAACAATTGCGAATGGAAATAGTGAATGGGAATAGTGAAGTAACACAATTGCGAATGGAAATAGTGAATGGGAATAGTGAATGGGAATAGTGAATGGACATACGCCTACATGGCGAGGTGACTAGGTCCAGGTGAGTTGTGCTAAAGCTTAGGCCCTTAGGCTTAGCAAAGCAAAGCGAAACAATGTTTATATGCTAAAGGGAAGCCCTCGACTCGATTGGCCCCAAGTCTGCCCAACGCAGCGCCCGCAATTTCCATAAGTGCCAATTCACTAATTTTCACTATTTCCATTCACTATTTTGTTCACTAATTGTTTGCTCAAGATTGCAGTCTTTTCAAAAGGAAAATGCAAAACATCACTAACCTGCATTACATTTCACTAAATTTCACTAACATTTCACTCAATTTCACTAAAGTTCACCAAATTTCACTAAATTTCCCAAGGCCCACTTAATGAAAATTAGTGAAATTTAGCGAAATTTAGCGAACCTAATTAAATTCAATGAAATTTTAGAAAGAGATCACTAAATTTCCTAAAATTTCATTGAATTTCATAAATTTCGCTAAATTTCACTAAATTTCACTAAAATTCACTAAATGTCACTAAATTTCACTAAAGTTCACCAAGTTTCATTAATTTGATTTAGCAAAAATTAGTGAAATTTAGTGAATTGAAATAGTGAAATCCAATGAATTTTAGAGGTTCAATTTCCACAAATCGGCAAACTGTTGCTATTCAAATTAGTGAAATAAATTAGCGAATGCTCTTCCCGCCTGTTGGGGAAGCCGCTGGCAGGCCCTCTTATCACAAATGCAAAGACCAATTGGCTCCTTTGCTCAATTCACAAACCTGGAAACACACATTCTCAATTCACTAATTGAAGTCACACACTGCAAATCCATGTTTCCCAAATCACAATTTTGATTCACTAAATATTTCACTCACTATTTTGATTCACAAACTATTTCACTATGCTTCACTAATTTAATTCAAAACATGTGTTTCAGTGTCTGCCTGGTCCGGCAATCTTAAGGCTTAATGTTCATCTCCATGCACGGCTTGGTCCGAGTCCTTGGTTTTGTCTTGACCGGATTTGTTTCAGCTATGGATGCTTTGCAACCACCATGTCTTTGGCTCACACGCATACTAGAAACAACATGTTTCCCCTTTTGGGGTAATCTTCAGGTGGATACTTAGTAGGAACAACATCATCGTATTGCTCCTGTTCTGGCAATCTTCCGGCGGGTCATTAAAAACGTAGTTGCCCTTGGGCCTGGGCAAATGGATACATGAAACATGCCTTTGTAGACAAATCCGCACTCCTTTGGGTTGTTTTTGGGCGGTGTTTCATCATGCCCCCTTCCCCCCGGTTTTTTACGTGGTTTTTCAGGCGGTGGTTGCTGGGATTAGTCGTACTTTCAGGTGGTTGTTACGCGGTTTTTCATAATTTGTTTTCTCGGTTTTAGGTGGATTTTCCTTCCCCCCCCCCCCGGTTTTTGGGTGGTTTTCACGTGGGTTTTGCCCGTGGGGTTTTGGCCGGCTCTGGCCGATTCGGCTCTTCTCGCCTCAGGTGGTGGTGATGGCCCTGACCTGGTGCCTAAGCTTCGTGGCCTACCAGCCCAAGCGCTGCCGGGGCCAGCGGGTGCTCACAGCCCCTGGGACTTTTGGCTTTTTTAACGCTAAGAACCTTAGAATTAAGATAAAGCCTATAGTGACTCCACTTCACCTTAAAATATAGAGTCACTATAGGCTTTATCTTTTGTAGCTGACAACCTTATTTTTGTGATGATAAAGCCTACTAGTGACTCCACTTCAGCTGGTTATTGGAGAAATCGAAATATGTCCTTGTACATTGGGAGAGGACGGGGTAAGCGGCTTTTTTGAGGGGACCCCACAAAAGATGGGTGGTGGTCTTCCTTTTGGTTTCCCTCTAAACCACCAGAAACGGGGTAACCACCAAAAATGAGACACTTTTGGGCGGTTTCTAAAAGTGGTACCAGCCACGGAAGGTGTCCTTCTAATTTATGCTTCAAAAGGGTTTCCAAGCACCTAAAAGGCTTCCCTCTGGTTTCCCATGCTTAAAAGGGTCTCCACGCGCATTTCTGGGGGTTCCCAAATTTGGAGCACGACCCCTTGGCAACTACCGGATTTTTGTTGCAGAACGACCGGAGAAGCTTCGACCCGCCTTCGCCGATTCGCGCGCCGCGCGCGCGAGAAGAACAGCGCGGCGCTGGTTGTGACGGTTACCGCACCGACTGGGCCATGGAGGTTGATCCATTTCGGGTCCCCAGGTTTGACCAAGGTCCCGCAGCAATCGGTGCCCTTTCTCACCCGTTGCCTTTTTTGGGGAAGGTAGGGTTCCCCCTACTAAAATAGACCACAGCAAAAAGGGTACCCTTATTCTAACCTCTCAAATCTGGAGGACCCATGGGCCACTTTTCTCCATGTGGGAAGTATCATTGTTTTAGTGAGTTCCCAGTTTTGACCCTGACTATCAAATATGTTTGGTGGCTTCCCAAGCAATGGTCATCCCATGTATCACGGACCTTTTGGTCAACCCCCATGTGGTTCTACTCATAGGGGTTATTGTAAGGGCTCTATACCTTTAGAACCGTCTTAGTAGAACCAACAGTCAAGCGCTGGGGATGGTGACGAACCCTTTAGTTACGAGTCTTGACTATCGTTGTATTTTGTTCCTCGTGAGCTCTTTGATTATACACTAGGGCCTGTTCAGTTGTCGGAAAATGTACCACTTTTTGTCGGCACCTTTGGGATTTCCCTTCTGATGCCCCTTTTGGTCAGCAGTTGACAGCCATACCCCTAGATTGTTTGCATTTTACAGTGTAGAGGGACTGACACATCCGACTAATAAAAAGTAATTTTTTAGCAAGGGGTCAATGAAGCACTCTGATTTTGGCGCCCTTTTTTTTGGACGGTACCCTTTTCTGGTCGCATTTAAAGACAAACCCAAAGGGCACCATGTTTGGATCTCCCCCATTTTAACACGCTGTGAATCTCAACCGTGAATCTCATCAAAGTTGGTGGACATGATGTCCACAAAAGAGTGGGTTTGTCTCAAAGAGCCTCCGAAATTGTTTGGTTTTCTGTCAACTCCTTTTAAAGGACCTTAAAAGCAATTCCCTCAGAAAAAACCGGTTGCCATTTGAACAGACCGGTTCTTCTTGGCGTCCCTTTAACGGGAGCAAAGCGGGTCTCATGGGTCCCATGGGTCCCATAGGCCTCGGTCTTCGCCTTCTTCGCGGTGGCCTCGGACGACTTTGCCATCGGCTTCCCGGTGATCGAGGCCTTGTACGGGGAGCAGATGGACATGCGCCGCGGTTTAAAACACATCGGGAGTTTGTTTTTTGGGGGTGTGGGTAGGTGGAGGAAATCGGGAGGTTTTTTTGTGTGGGCCTGTCTTGGGTACTGTGGATGCACGATATCCATTTCGCACCATCTAAGAAACCCAGGAATGAGTCGATTCCCCCGTGAATACCAACAAACAATGGTTTCCCATGGCTTCAAAGTGGTGCAGGATTGCGTCCATCCACAGTATGTCTTCAAATGGAAGAAATGCCGTCTACGGCTCCCACAAACTAACATGGACCTGCAAAAAGGCCCTTTCCAAGAGGAAAGGAATCTTTCTACAGGGGTCTGTGCACTTCCATGTTAGCTGGTGGGAGGGTACGGCAATGATGTTTTAAGCTGGAACCCTTTCAGAGATGGTTGGGCGCCCTTCCAGACATGCCCACCAAAGGGTCGTTTTCCGTGTTTCTCAAAATAGGGAACCCCAAAGTTGATGATTGGTGAAGGTTCATTCGGGGTGGGGGGGGGTGTAGATTTTGAGGAACCAGGACTCGGACCTAGTGAAGTGGCCAGGCTGTCATGATTTTCCAAGGAAATCACCCTGTATCCAAGTGGATGTCCATTCCCGAGCTGTCAAAAAAACCAGTGGTTCCACTATAGTCGGTAACTTCAAGGAAAGCAGCAAGGACAAAACTGTTACCTAGCATAGTGGGTTGCCTGCGATCCACTAAGATTGGGATTCACCAGGGAGTCTTTTTTTTAAGGCGTGAATCCTCCCTGAACTTGGGGCTTGGTAGGCCATCCACCAAAGCCGCGGGGATCTCAAGGCGTCATAAGGAAGCATGGCATGAGTTTCGACCATGCCACATATGGGTTCCCCTTTTGGATGGTTGCTTTAAAGGGAAACTGTGGCGAAACTGTCCTATGGCTGTTCAAAGAAGAGGCCCCCTACAAATGGCCCCCGAGAGGAACCTGGCGCCCAGTTGGCCTCGCTTGTTCAAAGCGAATCGACTTTTGACCTTTTGGTTTTCCTATGCTACCCACTTTTAGCAACGGCCCCGAAAGGAAAGTCTTTTATTACCATGCCCCTAAGGGTCAACTGAGCCCTGCGAGCCATACTGTTGACACCCTATGAATCAACCCCAGTTTAGCAATAGGGGGTGTTCCCCTCCGAAAGCGAACAATCCCCACTAGAACCGGGGACACCCCCATATTAATAAGCAAGGGTTTCTTAATAGGGGGTGTTCATTAGGATATGGCCAGCTCAGTACCCACTTTTAGTGGCCCCATTTCCTATGGTACCCACTTTTAGCCACGGCCCCAAAAGGGTCAACGTTATTTATTTCCATGCCTTAGCCTGACAGCCACCTGAGAGCCATAGCATATGGCCTCAGGAGCATCTACATCACGGGCAACGCCTTGGTGGGCTCCCTCTTCTTCGTACCTCTGACGATGATCGCCTTCGCCATCGGCGGCGCTTTGAAGCACAAGGAGACAGGACAGGGTTTCGGGTCCATTTGGGCGGCTCGTCGTTTTTTGAGGGAACCCTTCGGTGGTTTTTCAAGGACACCACAAGGAAAACCGAAGCCGTTCTTGGGGGTAACTTGAAAACAAAAACACCATCTGTATATAACCCCGAGAAACCCTCGAAATGTTCACAGGGAACCCAGCTATCTGTAACAAAAACAGCTCCATTCCTTTCGCAGAGCCCGTGTTTCACTTTCTGAGTACAGGAGGCGCAGAGCCTGTAATTCCAAGTACAGCCTTGCTTTTTCCGAGAGTTTGTGCACCGCTAGATATCTTGTGGTGACAACGCAGATGCGGCTTCGACTAGGGGGGTACATGGTATTCTGACCCAAGTTCACTTCAATGCTACATGACTTGCAAGCCTCACAAGCCACGCTTCTTGGCTTGTGAACCCCATTTTGCTGGAGGGAGGTTGCAGCTTTTCCATGACTGGAGGTTTGGGCTTAAGGTGGTTCCCCCCGTTGAGCAATCACCCACATGGACATTCCCCTTTTTGGCCTCCTTTAGAACCACCCAAACCAATGGACGCATTCGGTGGTTGGATGCGGATGCCTGGAAGGTTCAGCATATTTATGGGGTTTCCAAATGGGGTTTTCCCCCCAAAAACTGGGTGGCTTGCCCTGCAACAACCCCGTTTGGGTGTGTCTTCTTCTTGGAGGGAACCCCTGTGTTGATTTGTTTTTGAAAGGAAACCAAGAGGAAACCCCACCATTTTTGCGGGTCAGCTAAGAAAGACAATCCCATTTGGATATCCTCAAAATCACCCGAACGGTGGTTTAACTGCGAAAACCCCTCGAAATGTTCACAGGGAACCCACTTATATGCAGAGAACCACCAACCCACGGAGTTTTGCGCCAAGTTCACTTGTGCAATGCTACATGACTTGCCAGCCTCGGCCTCGACATTTTGGGATTTGGGTGCACCCGCAGTTGCGTCTCTCGAGGACCTGAGGTCTCCGAGTCTGTGGAGGAAGGCGCCGACGGAAGCTCCGAGATGACGTGCCTGCGCCTGATGAGATCCCCAGCTGCAAGCGGCCTCACAAAAGCCATCCGAAGAACTCGCTCCCTAAGCTCATGGACTCTCAACTATTTGGGAAGAATCTCATTGTTTGGCGGCTTTCAGCTTTTTGGGAAGCCCATTTTTTGGGGGCACGTAAGAAGTTCAGACTCTTTCGTGGCCATCAGGATGTGAGTAGAACGGTGTCCTTTCGGGTTTCCCCTTGGAATACCACAAGGGGACCGCAGCTTTTGGAAACATGGTGAGTGCACGTCTAGCCATGGGCTTTAGAAGGGGAACCATTCAAAGAACCACATCCGCCCCAAGTTGGCACAGCCAGGGCTTCCACCAATGGAACCCCAGCAACCGACCCGCCCCCACCCCATGTATTGCCAGCCGGACTTGTGTCACTCCCGGTAGACGTGTCGCTGAGTAGCCCGGTACTCTGCAATTGATTTGGGGGACGACTTCCCACAGTTCCGCAAAAGGACATGCCTCCAAACTTTAGAGTTCCATGTTAATGTGCAGATTGATGGGAACCCCGGATCTAAGTAGAACTTTTTTTTTTTTTTTTTTTTTTTTTCGGGGAGTGCCCCCACTAAAAGGGGGTCATCGCTTTTGGAGGAACAGCTTGTATTCGTTGGTCGGGTTTATTCTGGGGTCAGCACGAGTTATAGTCAAGGACTTGGCTGGAGCGGTTGCCTCTGTCAAGACAAGACGCGTTGTTGGTTCAAGAGCGGGTGTTAAAACGAGTTGTTCACAAGCGTCAATCAAAGGCTTGCAAACATGTCTTTCAGGTCCCACCAAATGATCCAGCAACTTTGGCGCTGAGAAGTGTCAAGCAAAATCGCGCAAATGCGTCACCAAACAGTCGCGCAGAACGTTTGTGCAACGTGGTTTGGTCTACACTCTGTTTACCCTGAGCCGTTTGTTTCTAAAGCACATGTGGGCTGATGGCTTAGTCCACCGGTCTAAGGCAGGTGTGCCTAAACCTGAGATCCCCAGCATGACTTTGCATAGGGCAGACTCGATCTGGGTGTCTTTTCTCGGTGCCCCTTGTTGGGTGCGGTTTAAAAGGGAGCAAAGCGAAAACAATGCAAAATCCACTTTGGGGTGTCCCCTAAAACAAGGGGCCACACCCATATGGGCCATGTGAGGCATCCACGAAAAGATGTGGGTCGCAAACGAGCTTACCCATGGGAGGTTTCAAGGATTCATTCGGGCCTGCCTTTTTTGAGTTGGTACCTCCTTTTGGGCCACTTTTTGGGGGGGGTGCTTTTTGTTTCAAGGAAATCCAGAGGAAAGCAAGCGAAATTTCATTTTGCGTCTTACCCAACACAATAGAGGATGCGTGGCATATGGATGTGCATTGTTTGAGTTGATGCTTTTTTTGTGGTCTGAAAGGGATACCATTTTGGGGATCCACTAGTTTCGGGAGATTGATTCCTAAAAGAAAACACACCCAATCTGTCAACAGCAACTTACTCAACGGTTTTGTATCTCCAAGATCAACGGCTTACCTAAGCAGAACCCGTCCTATGACTAGGTTGCGCTCCCAGTTTGGAACCCCCACTAAGCAGGACCACCCCCACTCTCAAAATCTACCAGTTCTATTCTATGGTTAAATCCGGGGTCAATATGCCCCCACACCAACAGTCACCCCATTTGGACGACCATTCTTGGTTGATCAACATAACATGTCCATCCTCTTCTGTTTGGGGGGTCTAGGTTGTTGTTTTCACACACAACCACCCAAACCAGTTCTACAGTTCAATCCGGGGTCACCGCACAAACCCTTTTTTTTTCTCCGCGGCCCATTGCGGGTTTCCAGGATCCACCTGCTACGACCTGGGCACGAACCCGGTGCTGGTGATGACCTGTGCGGGCCTTGCCTTCAACCTCATCTTCGGCAGCAAGCTCGTGGAAACCTGTCGGAAAGGCTTACGTGTGTCAAAATCGGGGGACCCAACAAAAGGTGTGTGTGTTTTTTTCTTGGGCTTGTTTGTTTTGCCGGAGCAAAGGCTCACAAGTTTGTGTCGCACATAGGGATCGGGTTAAATTTGTCACAGAATAGAAGGCATCAACACCTTGGGGACCCGGCAAAATCCCGTTTTGGGTACTGGGGTTGTTTTTGTGTTTCAATTGGGTTGCTTGTTTGGGTTCAATTGGGTTGCTGTTTGTTTTTCTTCTTCAATTTTGTTTTTCAATTGGTTTGGTATTTTGTTTGTTTTTTCGTTGCTTGTTCCTGCCTCTTTTTTTGAGGCACCCCCAAACCTCCCTATACTTCCCCTCGGGTGCTTTAAACATCACCTTTTCGGGCCATTGAAATGATGTCGAAGGGTGGCACATTAAGACCTTTGACCGTCAACCCCCTTTTGGCGGTGGTTGAAGGGACATTTATGTGTGGAGCTTGCCTATTCATGACTCGGCGCCTTTTCGGTGTTGAAAAAGAAAGATGTAAAGGGGCGTGTAAAAGCCCTAGACACTGCCAGACGTAAGCTCTCGTTTTCCACTTTTTGCACGTCCTGGCTTTCCTTCATTTGCCACTTTGGGTTTGCTTTTTTGGTTTTGTTTGGGTTCATTTTATCACGTGTGTTTTCTGCCTTTTCGCTTTTGCCATTTAGATTATGTTTTGCCTTTGGGGTTTTCCTTCTCAACGAGCAAAAGGGCACCATTTTTTCAGATGCTTCAAGCATCGACTTGTGGCGCCATTTCAAAAGCAATTATTGCGAGGGGACCAAGCATCACTAACCACAAGCACCCTGGAATGTCGAGCAATGTACAGGGTTCCCCCACCTTTCCCTTGCTATATTTGGGGCATAGCACGTACTGTGGATCTGTGGATAGACGCACTCCTTTTCGCACCACGAAATGAAACCGTGGCCGAAACCGTTTTTGGTTCTTGAGGAAAGTGACGGCCACCTCAAGTTGCCGAGCCCCTTCTCGAACTTCGTAGAGCTCTTCACCGACGCACGGCCGAAAGTGGTATTTATCAAATTTATTTGTTTGTGTTGCTATTTGTTTTTAGGAGGGTACCTGTATGTGAGTTGTTGTTTTGTTTCGAGTTTATCCGTTTGTTTGTTTCTTTTTTTTCTCGTTTGTTGTTTTCTGTTAGCGGGGGGTACTTGTATGTGTCAGATAGGGATGTGGGTGGCTCGTCGTTTTGTCAAGGTACCCCTTGTTTGCTGGTTTAATGGAAAACCAAAAGGACAAGTCCTCTAAGACACACCCATTTGGTTCCAAATAAATCGTGAGCCAATACTGGTTTCCCCGTTCCGCGTGTGATCAGGCATCTCTTTCAGATGAATTCACCCCAATCAATTCCACAAAATGTCAGCTTCGGATTTTTGGAGGAGCGTACTCATCAGATGACTCATCAGGGTGGTGCCGTCCATTTTGAGGGTCCACCATTGTGAGGCACACCCAAAGATGTTTGTGATCCTAAGTTTGGGGCATCGACCGGAAAAAGAACTGCGTTCCTTTTGGATGCCCTTTCCACGCCACCGTGGCATCCCCTGACCGTTTTCTTACGTAAGATACCAACGGCCAACTTCAACTTGAAAGCATTTGGGCCGTTAGTTGCGTGTCCCCCTTGTTGCAAAGGAAATCCAACATGTTTGGGGGTCCCCTAAGAAAAAGACACACCCATTTGTCTTGCTGCTGTTGTTTTGCAATTGGGCAGCGAAGCACTTAGTGACGTCCACTTTCAATCAATTACCCCTCCAGATTCGTTCGAGGCAGTTTCCCTTTTCCGTTGCAGGCGCAAGCCCAAGTGCGCACACCGGCGCAAATTACAGCGACCTAATGGGTTTTTATTTGCGACTACAGAGCCATGATGTGGGGGTCTGTTTTCTTGTTCATGGTGATTTATTTGTAGCTCACCCAGAAAGATTTCAACTTGGTGTGCCTTCTTTTGAATTGCCAATTTCAGGGGTTCCAAATCCCATTGAGAGGCAAACTCAACTTCACGGTTCGTGGCATGATCAATTCTTCTTTTTACCTTGCGTGGGGCGACACCATCCGGAAACTGTGAAGTGGTGCTTTGATTTGGTGATGGTTTCTAGAGTCGAACCGGAGCGTGGTGACCCAACCACACCACCAACCCAAAGCACCAATCAAAGGCAAGCTGAACGCTCACTTGGTGGTTTGGATTGGCGGTTTGGAAGTTTGAACCCATTGTAATTAGAGCGCAAGCGGGACACCACCCAACCTCCACACTTCCAGGCCACCACTCCAAACTCCAGACCTTTACGCTGAGAGAAAAGCGCCTTTTTCCCAAAGGCCAGGCGATGGCCTCGAGCAATGAATCGGAGACCCTCCCCGAGGAAAAAGGGCCGCGCAAGCGGCCGCGGCCCAAAGAAAACCCGGAAATTTCCAAATTGGCTTGCCCGATCGGCAAGTGGAAACATGGACCAAAATTCCTGCGGCGTGCCCCAATCGTTTCATTTTGAGCCACGCCCGTTGGCAGAAGTGTCCTCGCTTCCCGAGCCTCCGGACTTTAAGCTGATCATCTCGGAAGCAGCGGTTAGGGCAAGACCTGAAGCCGCCAAGTAGAATGAAGCTCTTCGGAGCTTTTTAGTTTGGAAAACACAAAACCATAAAGTAGAAGGAGGAAAACCACAAATTAGACTGAAGTTCTGGGGATGTTTGAAATGAGGATGCAAATCCTTATCAGAGACCAATGTGTAGCAACGTATTGATTTCCGAAGGCTTGCAAAGCAAACCCGAAGTGAAACGTTTGCTGAAGGCCCCCTTCGGCATGTGCGCCCTGCTCCTGACCGGGGCATCTCTGCGCTCGCCGCAAGTGTCGGTATGGGCGCTGGGGCTGGTACTGATGAAGGCGGGGTCAGCTTCAAGACCATCATGGGCGTGTCTCAAATTAGGGGATCCCCCAACTCACTCCCTGAGTTCCCGGCCGGACTATAAACTTTTTGGGAAGTCCATTTTAGTGGTAAGTAAGAAGTGTTGACTTGCTTTGGCCAATCCACTCAGGAGGTGAGTCGAAATGGTGCACGGGTTCGCTTTGGGCTTCGTTATGATGCCTGCTTTGAGTCTTGTTTGTCGGTTTTAATGGAACACCTTCAGGATTTCCACCATTTTGGAGTTACCTGAAAACAATGTCTCAAATTAGGGAACCCCCGAAAATGTTGGTTATCCCCTTATGGGTTTCCTCAAAAAGCCAAAGAAGGGTATCGAGCCTCAACAACAGGCAGGCCCAGAATATGATATTTGGGTTTCTCAGAGCCCCCGAACGAGCAAAAGGTCGATCACCTTTTTGTAGGTTGAAGGACAATTAAGCTACTCTTTTCCAAACGTTCCAAAATGGGGCGATTCGGTCACACCAAAGACTAGCAAGGTAAAATGTGCCTATTTTATGGGTTCGACCTGGGGGTAGACCGAGCGAATGCCATGTAATTATGTCCTGTACATGGGAATCCAATCCTTATTTCATATGTGCAACTAGCAGGCTTAACTTGGGTTGAAACTACCCCACACCCCCATTCTAATTGAGGCTCAGAAAGCTACCGAATTCAATCTTACATTCTTTCCAGCCAACCGGCAAACACCCAGGAGGCACAGCTGGCTTTTGAATCGGACGATTGATCAAACAAGCATGGGAATCACACCATACCTTCATGTTGACCGCGGAATATTAAGCTTTAAGTGTTCGACCGTTTCTGGACTTGGCTCACTCCCGGTGGTTTGACTTATCTTGTTTAAGGCGAGAAACGCGAGCTGAGAACCCACTTCCTCCACACCCGCGTAGAAAAGGGTTGGTAAGGGAGAATCCCAGCCATAAATGGGTGCAGCCTCCTTGTTGATTCCCTACATGGTTCTGAACCAGGTTTTGATTATGACACCGTTTCTGAGCAAGGGCCGAAGGCCACACTGACTTTCCCAGCTGGACTTCAAACACTTGGGAATTTGTGCACCAAACGTTGGACTTTCTGCCACTATTGAGCCAAAAGCTTTCAGACTTCTGAAGCTGTTGGGGACATATATTTGTTCTGAAAATTTGGGGGAAAGATGACATGTTTCTGCAACTTTTGGCTTCCCCAGAATTAGTTCCCCTTTCTGATTTGTTTTGATTTTTGGGGTCCCCTTTCTTTTCCACTAACCAGGCAAAAAAAGCAGCAAACACATTTTTTGGCTGGGGTCCCTTTTTTCCAGCCGACCAAACACGTTACGTGAGCCGATCGGACTAGGACCGATCGTTCGCCTGGGCTCGGAGGTGGTGGTGTGCGCGTATCTCAGCTACGCCTTCGGCAGCTGGCTGTCGGCGGGGAAGGCGGGATGCCGTGGGTCAAAACGTGGCGATTCCCAGCGAATCGTGCGTTTTTGTTTTCGGGTTTTTTGGGGTGTTGAGTTGGTTTAGTGGGGAACTCCGTTTTCGGGTTGGTTTTGAGCTGTTGTTGTTGTTTTTTTGGCTTGGCGGCTCCCAGCCATCCGGTTCCTTAGCTGTTTAGACTTTTAGTTGGTTTAGTGGTTGGCTTTCCATGTCACCCACCAAAAGTTGAAAGCTTTCAGGGATCGAGGAGAGCCCAGAGACTCTCGGGTAGCTCACTTCCGGAGTTCCTGGTCGGACTTTTTTTCTCACCTGGGCTGGGATCCTTTTGGTGGCAAGCTAAAAGTTTGGCTGCTTGTTCTGGCCAATCCACTTGTTTGGTCGATGGTCCATTTCGGGGCATGGGGGACTCAAATGGTATATGTCATGTGGTTTGAAGAGCAAAAGTGAGGGCCATATAATCCATGTCCTTCGCTTGGGGATCCAATTCTGACTTCAACAACTTGCAGGCCTGGGCTTAAACCACCGAAGCACCACCCCTTCTATGACTTCGATTCCACTATCTCAAGAATTGAAGATCAGATGCGAGATGGGAGAGAACCAAGCAAGGGTAGAATCTATGAGGTTCCTTTTTCGCTGCTCCAAAAGAAGAATCGACCCTTTAAGCTTCAAGGGCTTTCCCTTTGCGGCAATCACAAGAAACAGGGCCCGGAAGGTGATCGCCCTGAATTTCTAGGTTTTTGTTCCCCGTTTCTAGGAGCAGTTGTCTTCCCTGCCAGGAATACCGGAGCTTAAAGATACCCTGGGTTGCCAGGTGCGTGGTGCTTGCTAGATGCCAGGTCGTCTTTGTTTCTGGCACGCCAGGGTGAAAGAAGAGGGCACCTTTCCGTTTTGTGTCGCTAAGTCAAGGGGATGACTTCATCAAAATGGGCAAAGTTGTGCAGTTGTGCCATAAATCGGCGTGTCTCCAAATAGGAGGCCCCGTTTTGCAAGGATTTTACAAGGAAACCAAAGGGAAACGACTTACCTGGAGGGGTCCCACATGGTGCTGCCACAATTGCTGGACTTGGCCAACCTTTTGCCTTCTTGGCTGTACTTGCACGTACGGCGTGTGCCGCGCTGCGCTGAGACTGTTGGTTCTACCAGCATGGTGTGCAATCAATCACAAAGGTCTATGTAGGCCGTACTAGCTCGCCAGGTGATAGAACCACCAAGTTAGGAGGAAATCAATCATTTGTATGGACATGTCCGCTTTGTTCCACACTTTTCCCGTATTCTCAAGACCTTCTCCATGTTGCTCTACCTTTGCCTGTAAATTTCTATGTTTTCCAGGTTCCCCACTGGATTTGGATCACTTTCCGCCAGAACGAGAGCTTGCGTGTTTCAAGTCCACATACTTCCGTGTTTGTTGTGGGCAGTTGTCTCCTACTTTTGTGTACGTGTTCCAATTCTTCACCTTTCTGGTGTCTTCATTCACTATTTAGCCAGGAGAACGAGGAACTCAAGCACTTCTGCTTTGTTCTTCATGCTCTTTTCTGGACTTTGTACCTTTGGGGAAGACAATTTTGGTGCCAAACAAACAGCTTGGTTACGTCCTTTGTCTGGCCAATCTACTCGTTCGAGTAAGTTTTCACCTGTTTCCTTCCCACTGGTTTCCACCAGTTTCGATCCGTGAGGAGAACGCAGAGCTGTTCATTTTTAGGCAGCAAAAATCGGTATTTGGTTACCATCTTAAAAGTCAAGCACCGGTTTCTTCCATTTGCTTAAGAACAAGTTTGATTTGCCCTTCTTGGTTTGAAAGCGAATCGATTTCACTACTGGATGTTTTTGTTTGTTTTAATGTTTCGTTTTTCCCGGGGGCGCAACAACAAATAACCCAACCTGAGGCCGCTCTCAAAGCAACACACACCCAAGGCCCCCAGCTGGCAAGTTTGGGTCGTTTGGGGCTGGGCCAAAGAGGGGCTTTTCAAGCACCTTGCCTCGCCCTCGTTTCCCTTTTGGCTTGGTCTAGGGTTGTTTGTTTCATATTTGTTCCAGGGTGCCAAAAAAAGGAGGCCACAGGAAGGTTGCTCCGGTTTTCGGTTTCGAACCGATCCTCTAGGATCACCGACCCCCCAACCAGGGGTTGTGTTGGTGCAGGGTCAGTGTAGGGTTGGTTTAGGGTTGGTTTACGGTTCACTTTTTAGTCATGCCCGCTGCAACAAACACCTTCCCGGGTTGCTCACCGGTTTCGCATCCTCCACGATCCGCACGATACCCCCACATTTCACCCAGAACCCTCCCCCCCTTCAGAAGGTATTAATCAATATATTAACCGGTGAAGCCACCGCTTGGTGCTCGGGTTTTTGGCTCCGCTTTTTGACCCCCGCTCGAAGACGTCCGAGGAGGACGCGGAGCTGAAGGCGGACTTCACCTTCTTCTACGGGGCGCTGCCCACGGGCTCCCCGCCGCTGGTCTTCGCGGCCGCCTTCGACCCCGCCAGCTGCGAGCTCGTGGCCACCGCGGTGCTCTTCGGCCGCTCGGATCCTAACTGCTTAAGAAGCTGTGTTTATTTGTTTTTGTTTCCCCATTTGGTTTTCAAGGGAATCTATCTGAGATATTTGTGTGTTTTTTTCTTCCCCATTTGGTGTTAAAGGGAATCTATCACTCTACTGGAGATATTTTCGTCATTTTTTCCAGGGGGCTTAAGCAAACGGAAGGTTTGGAGGGAGGGCGGGAGGCGAGGGGGGCCTTGCGGGCCTTGCAGGAAACCTGGACCCTCAAAAGTCCAACTAAAACAGTAGGTAGCCCCAAGCAGATGGTTTGGTCACATGGCATATCTAGCGAAAATCAACTGTAGGAGTTGATGCTAGCAGAAGTACAGTCACCCAAAATGGCTGGTGAATGCCGAATTCGCTTATTTTATGGATACGGTTTGACCTTGAGGGTCCAGGTATGTCTGATGTTTACGTACCCCAAATCAAAGGCGCCAAGCCTATGGGTTCTCCGTCTTTTTGTTGAGACCCACGATCCCAATATTCACCAACCACGATTTCTTTGGTGTATGTTGCTTGGATGTTAGGACTTCAACTTTTTGCCAATGAATGGGGTTTCCATTAAACCGCCAAAAGTTAAACTTTTAGCAGGGGAGCAGAAAGCAACCGAGATTTTGGGGCAATAACCAAGTTTAGCTGGAGCTTTGGGGGTCCAGGTGTATGTTTTTTTTGTTTCTCGTAGGGACCCCCAAAACATGGTTGTCGTTGGGAAACATTTGTCCCATTTTTGTTTATTGTGGTTTAGTGGTTGAAATCCACATCCACCTAACTGCTAAAAAAATATTTTTTGCTCCCCTTCCAACGTCAACCAAGAAAATGTATTTCGAGGTTTGTTTCCTGGTTTTCCCTTAACAAAAACCAGAAGCGACTGGGTACCCTACAAGACAACACCTCATGGGATACGCTGCGTGGTTCCTTCCCGACGGTTGGGATCCTCAAAACTTGGCTCCTAGCCATCCGGTTCCTTCGCCTTTTAGCCTTTTAGTTGGTTTAGTGGTGTCCATTTGACTTATTAACAGTTATTCACTTTGAGCGGGGGATCAGAAAAAAAGGGGCAGCCCAGAAAGCTGGATATGTTCGACTGCTAAGGGGTCGGGTTTCTCCAGCGGGGGGGTCTGGATTCAGGGCCCTGCACAGTGCTGCACTAGGTCCCCCAGCAGTGCCCTTTCTCTCCCGTTTCTTTTTTGGTTGGGAGGGTTCCCCTACTACAATCGACAAACAAAAGAAGTACCTCTATGCAAACCTCTCTACTGGAGGACCTAGGGTACTATGCCACAATTTGGGTGGTTCTATGGCATGTCTCTGCAGCCTTCTTCAGTTTCCGTCTAATTGGTCGTGCGAAGGTTCGGGGGTGGTCTCCCATTTACCCTCAACAAGAACCAGGACTTTGAATCTCCGAACCACCAGCATTTTCAATAGGACAACATTTCAAGGAATAAAATGGCTATAAATCACAATAGAGAACCCCCTCAAAAGTGGTTGGTGGACAATGCTGTGCACCAAGGGCTTCCGAATCAAAGTTCATGCCCATTTCATATAAGACCCCCTTATCTTTCTTTGCCACTGACAAGCCCAAAAGGACCTCTTTTTTTGTTGGGGGGGGGGGCTTTCTTCGAGTTGTTTTAGAATAAGATCCCCTATAGCTTCCTTTTCCGTTTGGTTTCCTCTCGCCTTCGGAGCCAAGGCCTGATTTTGTCGGGGCCCATCATGTTCGTGACCGCCTACTCGCTGTCCTCCCGAAGCCTCGAAGCGGCCACACGGCTGCTGCAGGACGGCGTGTTTTCGGCGGGAGACGGGCGGCGGGAGACCGGGGGTTTAAGCAACAACCAGCCACCAAAACCCATAGACACAGACCTTATTGGGTGCGTCTTAAAACACGGGACGTCGAAAACGTTTTCTTTTCCCGCTGGTGTCGTTTTGAAACCAATCCCAAAAAGGATACCTGCAACAAAAAGAAGTAGGTCCTCGATCATTGCTTTTGCCTGATTTGGCCTTGGCGTTGCAGCGGCGCAACAAGGAGGCAAGCAGCAGTATCGGCATCTTCTCATTAAGACTCAAGACCCACCCACTAAGACTCAAGACCGACCCATTAAGACTCAAGACCCACCCATTAAGACAAGACCCACCCGTTAAGACTCAAGACCCACCCATTAAGACTCAAGACCCACCCATTAAGACTTAAGACTCAAGACCCACCCATTAAGACTCAAGACCCACCCATTAAGACTCAAGACCCACCCATTAAGACTCAAGACCCACCCATTAAGACTCAAGACCCACCCATTAAGACTCAAGACCCACCCATTAAGACTCAAGACCCACCCATTAAGACTCAAGACCCACCCATTAAGACTCAAGACCGACCCATTAAGACTCAAGACCCACCCATTAAGACTCAAGACCCACCCATTAAGACTCAAGACCCACCCATTAAGACTCAAGACCCACCCATTAAGACTCAAGACCGACCCATTAAGACTCAAGACCGACCCAAGACTCCAGACCCAAGCCCAAGACCCAAGAGACTCAAGAGACCCAAGAGATCCAAGAGACCCGAGAGACCCAAGAGACCCAGGGCCAGCCAAGAGCCACCCTCCCCAGGAGATCCAAGGCAGCGCAGATGCGGTGAGCCTCTTCTGCGGCGTGGGGCTCTTGGCGTGCGTCGCGCTGGCGCTCTTTGCACGTCCCACCTGGGTGGCCAGATCGGCGGCCACGGCCGGGGGGCCCAGGGGGCCGGGTTTGGAGCCTCAGGGCGGGGGGGGGGGGGGAGGGGACCAGGGCTCCTTTGCTGCTTCCTTTTTGAGCCCTCCGTGGTAATTTCCCTCTGGACTTCGGAACTTGTTTGGCGCCCTCAGAAACCAAAAGACAGAAGTTGATGAGATCACACCAGTAAGTCCAGCTGGAGCATTCTTACAAAGACTTTCAGAAAGAGGGCGTTGAACACATGACCCGCTTTTTTTGGGGGGGATCTTCGAGAACCGTTAAAGGGTTCCCCATGAGGAAAGCCACCGTACACACCCACCAACTAACATGGAAGCGCACAAAGCCCCTTTCCAAGAGGAAAGTCGTCTTTCTACCGGGGTCTGTGCACAAACCCATGTTAGTCGTTGGGAGGGTAGCCACGAGTTTCCGCCTTTTCGGCATCTCACCCCAGCTGGCAGTGGCTCAAAATTCAGGAGCTAGGGTTACGAAGTTACGCAGGTTTTGGTCCATGTTTCCACTTACAAGGGTTTCATTTTGGTACCGGTTTTCCGAGCCATACCCAGCTGGGCCTTGCGCTTTACGCTTTGCCTCGCAGGCGCAGCTTGCGGTCTATGGCCTGGTGCTCACGGCCTATGCAGCGGTGTCGCTGGCGGTGAACCCCTTGGTGGCCCCGGAGACCTGCAGGCAGTGGGGGGAAGAGGTGGGAGGCTTGGTGGTGCTTTTTGTTTTCGTTTGTTTGTTTTTCTTTGTTCGTTTTGAATACATATCTTTTGTAGGGGTGGGGGGGCTGTAGCTGCAATCAGTTCCAGATTGTTTCTATTGGTTCGTGAGATCTTTCAGAGGACCGGTTTTGATTGGATTTGAACGGACACGCACCATGAAATCCGTCATTTGTTGAGGGCCCCTTTTTGTGATACCAACGTACGCCATCCCTGCAACCACTTGTTAATTTTACGTGGGATTCCCTTGGCATCACAAACAAGCGCAACCCAAACCACGACTTCCAACAACACCTCCTCCACGACGGATGGGCGACTTGGGTTTCCACGAACTGGTTCCAAATGGATTTATACGATATCTGCAGAAGTGGGATTTCAAAGCTAAACACGTGTGTTTGTTCCGTTGGCTTCCTCTTCCGCCAACCTGAAGGCCGCTCTCCAAGCACCACACAACCAAGTAAGGCCTGACTCCGGCCGTAAGTTTGGGTCTTAGGGCCTTGTCTTGGGCTTTGTTGGGGGCGAGCGGGTTGTCCTTTCGGCCAGCTGTAAAAGAAAGGCTTCAAGCCAGCCTTGAGAAAGTTTGTGCCTTACCTTGGCGGTTTCCAGCCGTGCTTTGTTTTTTAATTTTGTTTTTAGTTGGTTTAGTGGGGGTGTCTATTCAACCTTTTAGCGGGGGATCTAAGGACAGGCCAGTTAGAGTACTTTCCCTTTTGGCGGATCCGTTCAACCAGATCCTGAACATGGCGATTCGCTCTTTGCCCCGTTTCGGCCCGTTTGGACCCACGACATTTTTTTCCATACCTACTAAAAGGCTAGGTCTGCCCTTTTACCCTTTTCTGGGAGAGGGTTCTCTTACTAAAATAGACGTCCTGAAAAAATAATACCCCCAACAGCATGCGTTGCTCTTTTTAGTGCTCGCACCACCCCGCAGAACCTCGTGAAACCCTGGTGGAGCCCTCGTGGAACCTTACGTCAGGGCCGCCCGGACCACCCCGAAGCCTATCTGGGCTGAGACCCCAACTTATTCTAACCTCTCAAATCTGGAGGACCTAAAAGGCGATCGACCCTGCGCTGGCAAAAACGGGGCAGCGTACGGCGCAGTTGGAGGGACCGAGCGAGCCGCGAGCGAGCCGCGAGCCGCAGGGCCTACAACCAGGGGGAGGCCACGGCTCGGATGTTCGCCTTCGCTTGGCTGCAGAACTCCGCCTCCACTCTGCCGCCCGGTGCGGACGTATGTGGTTTGCGCGTGTTGATTTGTGGGCTTTCTCGCTTCCCGTTTTGGGCCCGGGGTTGGTTGGGTGTAGAAGGCTTTAAGCTCAATTCAGTCTTAAAGTCATACCGTACCCTTGGCTTTTAGCCGTTTAGTCAACATGATGGCCGCCTCGGTCCCACTTAATGTTGCCCCCGGATTAGTAAGCCCCTGTTTATTCATATGGGGGTGTCCCCGGTTTTAGTGGGAATTTATTACTTTCGGAGGGGAACACCCCCATAGTAATAAACAGGGGTTTATTTATCCGGGGTCAACAAATTACCGGACATGATTTGTCACGCGTGTCGCTTTAGTGGAAGGTGTTCGGCTTTCCTGGTTCCGAGCCATTTCTTTTTTGGAACCTCTTTAAAAGTGACAGTTTTAATGGACACCACCAGTAAATCGCAACTGTTGGCCCATGTTTGGTTGGCTATAAAAGGTTTTAACGCTCAACCCAGTTTCAAAGCCGTTTAATGGAAATGATAACAACCACATCCACTAAACAAATACTGGAACGTTTAGCAAGGCATAAACGAACCACTAGGTTGAGGCCCCCACTTTGGTTGGGGTTGGTTTAAAGGAAAACAAAGGAGACGTACCCATTTTTGGGGCCCCTCTATTTTGAGACACGCCGAGGTGTCTCACTCCCTGCTTTTGCAAAGACCATTATACTGGCAAGCACCAACTTCTATTTGCTGAAATGAATAATATGAGTTATTTTCCCTTGTTGGTTTAAAGGAATTTATCCCTGCTGGACAACTATGTGTATTTTTCCCAGCAGGCTTAAGCAAATGGGACACAAGTTGCTTTTGCCCAGTCAGCTCAGGAAGTGAGGATAGAGCTATTCATTCGGCCTCCCCCAACCCTGAATGAATTTGGGCATATTGAAGTGGCAAGCACGAAGTCCAGGCTGTGTCTGAGCAGACCATGATTTTGGACTACCCTGGTTGATGCAGATACCCTGTCTAGGGACATGAACCACCCCTTGCATTTCAGTCCAGCGGGTGTTTTAACACGGAACCGTGGCTACGCTACGAGTTTGCTTTTTGTAGATAGGTGCTCATCATTAGGCCCCCCTACCCACCAGCATGGTTTTGGGCTGTTCCCCAAAAGCTGAAAGATATGGGGTCTCTGCGGCCCGGGGCGGGGTGGATTGGTTGGTTTTGGCGAAAGATGTGTTTGCTTTCTTGGTAGGACAAGCCTTGCAGCCTGACTTTTGCAGGATGGCCCTCATAAGGAAGGAACAAGAAAAAGTCTAACACCCTCACCAACATGCATGGTTTGGTGCACTGTTGAGCCTCTTTGGAAGACCACTAAATTTTGGACTAGGGTTCTTGGGCACCCAACTGGAGGGATTGTGTTGTTGGGGTGGAACCCTTGGCATTGGAAACCAATACCCGAAAGAGGGTGGTTGCGACATCGACCCCAAGTCACTAAGTGTCTGTCATACTGCGGGAGGGGGGGGTGCTTGTGCTGTTTGGTTTGAGCACTTGAGCATGAGTGGGGGGATGTGCAAAGCCTTTTTTTTGCCAACCTTCCCCACGGGTTGAAGTTGGCAAGAATTGACTTTGCATGTTTAGCCTTGAGCGACGTTCTTGCAGAGTTCTTCCATGCGAACCTGCTTTTGGGTTGGTGAATTAAATTCAATGACCACCAATCCAGAGGGAAGCAGATTTGTTTTCACCTTTTCGCGTAGGGGCCCCCAGCGACCGTCTCCCTCCCGCCCTGCTTGGGGCCTTAGGCTGCTGTCTTTGGAGTGCCTCCTGGTCTGCTCCGGCACCGGCTTCCTGGGGCGGCGCCTCAGGGCGCGCTGGGGCCTCGCCCTCGCGGCGGTTTGCGGCGTGGCGGCGCTGGCGCCGGCGATTTGGGCCACGCCCAACACGGTGAACGAGATCTGCGGCCGCGAGGAGGCGACGTTGGGCTTGGGGTTGGGTTCTTCCAATTGGATGCTACCAATTAATTCGATTTCATGCTACCAATTGATCTCTGTTGATGCTACCAATTGGTTGGCGGGTCAAGCGGCGAATCGTCCGGCTCAACTTAGGTGTTGTTTTCTTTTTTGTGTTAATCTTTTTTTTCCCGGTTTAGTGGCCGGGTTTCCATTTTTAACCACCTACAAGTTAAAGTTTGAGCAGGGGGTCTGAGGACAACCCAGTATGTTGACAGTTTCTGGCGGTCATCGGAGTCAGACACAGGGGCTGGTTCCCTTTAACCTCCTACTTAGCTTTGGTGCATTTTGCTTGGATGTTAGGACTTCAACTTTGTGCCAACCAACGGGTTTTCCAGTAAAAGCACTAAAAGTTAGTCTGAAAGCAACCGAGCCTTGATGAGAATATTTCCCATTTTCCCACTTGGTGTTAAAGGGACTGTATATCACTACTGCACATGGACATATGTTTTAAATATATTTTTCCAGGGGGCGAAAACGCAAGCACCTGGAAGCTTAGGGGCTGACTTTGAGAACGGCCAACTCATGAACCCAGTGGAAGGGGAGCGTGCGAGACGTCCTCAATCCCACGCTCAACCAGAGGTAGCGGGCTGTCCTTCCGGCGTCCCTTTCTGTTCCCCCTGAAAAAATGAGGGACAAAAGAAGCGGATCCCCTCCAACACGAAGGCACACATCCGTTTTCAGCATATCTTGCGTTTTGAGCATATCTAACCAAACCCAACCCAACCCAAACCCACCCAACCCAACCCAACCCTAGTGCAAAAACCAGCCCTAGGAAAAAATGGAGAGACATTCTGTCAGGTTCTGCCCTCCCCCCCTACCTGCCCTCCCCCCTCCCCTCCCCCCCTCCTCCCCCTCCTCCCTCTCCCGCAGCCCTGCTCATAACTGCAACTTGACGCATCACAGCCCAAACAAGAAGAAAAGCACAAGAGTACCAGTTTTTTTTTCCAGCCTGTTTCCTCCAAAAGGAGACATGGGGTCCCACCTCCCCCCCTTTCCCCCACCCCACCCCTCCATTGCCCAGGTGGTGGGCGAAGGCTTGCTGCTCAACGTGGCCTGGAGCTGCCTCCAGCTGCTGCTGGCGCTCGTTTTGGCCCTCGGCGGCTTGGCGCGGCACCGTGCGGCCCTGCGCGCGCGGAGGGCCTTGGAGGCTTTGGGCGGAGCGGCCAACGAGGCGCGGAGGCTTCCATTTGCGTTTCAGAATATGTTTTTGTTTTTCCAACTTGGCTTCAAAGGGAATCTATGACTACTGGACATTTGTTTTTCCCAGGGGGCTTGGAAGGAAGTGGTTGGTGGAAGCTAGGGCGACGTGAGCTTCGTCACCCCAAAGAACTTAGAGCTTCCATTGCTTCCTGCATTCGACACTGGGCAGTCCGTTTTCTGATCCCCTGCTCCAAGTAGGTACAGGATATCTTAATACTAGGATTATTATTTTGGTATATCTTCATGTGTTACGTCTCTTCACTTTTGGACAACAAGTCTAAATATGATATCCGATTATCTTGTATTAATTACTATCCCTTTGGGTCCTGTCTCTTTCTTGATGACAGCTTTCATTTGTTTAGCATTACCTATCTTGTCTGACACACTTCTTTTCATGTTGGGTGATCTTCATTCTAATAGACATTTATTTGATCCAATATTTGGAGGGGACTATATTCTATCAACGTTTATTTGCTTGTTTGGACATCCAGAAGTTTACATATGAATAAATCCTGTATTTGGGATCTTTTCCAGAGCAAGTTCTGGAAATTACACTCAATAATCTTTGCCGTGTCATCTATTTCTCTTCGTCAAAGTCTTGCTTGGGGACATCATATGTATACTGGTTTAGAAAGTGACGCAAGAGCTTATTTTGCAGGAGTTACAATCTTAATACCTTTAGCGGAGGTACTGGAGGTAGAGTCGTGAGGCTTTCAGGACTGGAAGTGATTTGGGTGTGACTCTTAGCGGACCCTTTGGACATCATTCATGGAGATTCTCGGTTCGTTGCCATAAGCACGCACATGCAAAAAGAGTATAGGGGCAACATAACCACATTTGTTTTTACCCCTTGCACTCATGACTGAAATTGGTTTGACCCATTGTAATTCTATAGGTTCCCATGTTTCACACAACTTGCACACGGCTTGGCATAACACAAGAAACACACCAACACATGCCATAATTTCAAGTGGGCTTTGCTTTGGTGTGACATTGTTTGGTTGGGCATACTGTTATTGCAGAAAATCCGGCACCACCTAAGACACTCTGGAATGTGTTGATTCTCCTGCAAATACCGATAACCAATGGTTTCCACCATGGCCTTCCGGGATCAGGGAAGCCTGAGCTCCCCGGTTGTCTTGCTGGTGCGAGAGATGCAGGGAATGAGAAATGGACTGGCGCTTCACCAAAAACCATCCAACTGCTGGTTTCCTTTTTTTTTCCGTTGGAATTCCCAAAACCTTCCCTCATTCCCCCTAGAAACCATCCCTTGTGGTTTCCTTTAAGGGAATCCCCTTAACAAACCCCAAAACCGGTCCATTTTTTGCTTGGGTCCTTCCCTCGCCATCGCACCAGCCCCCACGGGCAGCGCTGAAGGCGCGTTTTTTCTTTCGCCAGGCGGGGGAGGTGATCTTGGAGAAGCCGCAAAACCTGGTGCCGCGAGGCATCAGACTGGGCGGTCGATCGGAATCGGACTCGGAAGTTGCGACGCGTGAGACCCAAAGTGCTTGGGACGAAAATCTCTCCAGATCTCTCTTTGTTGGAGGTCCAAAAGTGGCATTTGCTTCTTTTTTGTGAGAACCCACCAGCAAGCTGCCACTTTTTCACAAAACATAAAGCAGCGCCCCTGGTATGATTTTCGCAAAAGGCGACCCCTTGGGCAGCAAGTTCGGTGGGGATTGATCTCCTCCCACTTTTGTTTGAGGTTCCCGGAAAAAAAAAAGAAGCGGCCACTTCACCAACCCAACCCCAAGCTGAATGCGGATCATTCCGTGGTTTTGTTGGGATCAAAGATTGTGGGTTCATGGGTATTTACAGGCTGCTTCCTCAACGGGTGCGATGTTTCGTTGGCATTTTTTAGTCGTATCTTCTCTGCGTCGTGGCTTCTTTGGGGTACTGTAGTGGTTTGGGGGTTGTGCAAACCCCATGTCATTTTCTCAAGGGGTTTTATTTATTCCTAATTCTGTAGTTGACAAATGGGGGGGCGTCCCATTTAAGAGCAGGAACCTGCGATCTTCGGTTGATGAATCCTATCATTTGTTTTTTACACCCCTCTTTTTTGCAGGCTTGGTTTTTCTCCTACCTATCCTTGGTTGTCAAGAACAAGGTTTGTTGGAACCACCCACTTCTGCTTGTGTATTTGTTCACATGGTCACATGAATTCGTTTCCTGGAAAACCCCGCCTGCATGTTTCTTGTACGGGGCCTTAAAGCTTAAAGGGCGCAAAACCGCTGAACTCAGCGCGGCCGGCCCTGCCGCGATTTCTCCCTGGATGGCGCGTTCCCTGCTTTGAGCTGGAGACAGCCAGCCAGTCGACCACCCTGCGTTAATTACTCAACTCAGGACGTTCGTGCAAGAATGAACGTGGCCATCTCAGCGACAGCCCTGGTTACAAGATGCTCGTCGAGTTGCCTTGCCGCGAGGCGCCTGCCTGGCGGTGACGCTGCTGAACGTGGTGAAGCTCCTGACGCAGGTGGTGAACGCCGGACAGGCGGTTTGGCGGGCGGTTTAGCGAGCGTTTCTTTTTTGGGGGGGCGGACGGGGCGGAGGCGGCGCCGATGGGGCGGGCGTCAAAGCATGGTTGTCGTTGGACACATTTTGTTTTAAGAATAACTTTTTTGCTTATTGTGGTTTAGTGGGAAATCCGAATCCACTTAACTGCTGAATTTTCAAGTTTTGCTCCCCTTACGTCGACCAAGAAAGACCGTCCTTTGGAAAATTTGAGCCGGACCAAGCTCCGACTTCGCGCCGGGCCTGGATGAACCCGAAGAATGCCCCAGTTCCCAGCAACAAATGGTCATGCCGCGGTTTTCCTTGGCCTTCCCGTAAACCCAACCCCAAAAATGGCATCCAGCCTCAAAACACGGAGCCGCGCCGGCTGTTTTGTCATGTTCTTGCTAGTGCTCAGCCGGGAATGAGAAATGGAATGACCTCGAGAAAAACCATCCAACCGGTGGTTTCCTTTCTTCGGGAATTTGTGGGGAAAAGCATTCCAGTTCTCATTCCCTAGCTATCGCACCCATCGCAAGCTTTGGACCCCCAAAATAACAAAAAAGTAAGGGTTTCCTTGGTTTCCCATGCAATAAAAAGAACAACGCTCAAGACAGAGGTATTTATCCTCCAAGACCTTTGACTTCCATTTGGTGAAGAATATTTGTTTCCCAGTTGGGTTTAAAAGGAATCGATCACAACTGGAAGTAATTTATTTTTTCTCCAGGGGACAAAAAAGCAAATGGAGGTTGAATTTCCCTGACCAACCTCGAAAATGGGCACGTGGATTTCGGAGAGGTGAGCATGGGCAACCGGAACCGCGGCAGCTTTGCGGCGATGCTGCTGCTCGAGGCGTCCTTGGAGCATGGCCAGCTGGTGGTGCTGCTGGCGGCGCTGATGCCTTTTCGGCCGACATGTTTTTTTTTTTTTTTTTTTTTTTTTTTTTTTTTTTTTTTTTTTTTTTTTTTTTTTTTTTTTTTTTTTTTTTTTTTTCCGATTTTTTTTTTTTTTCGACGCTGGGGTGTGTTTACTTTGCATTTTGCTCGGATGTTATGACTTCAACTTTTTGCCAACTAATGGGTTTTCCATTAAGCCACTAAAAGCTAAACTTTTAGAAGGGGAGCAGAAAGCCACCGAGTTTAGTTGGTTGGGGGGGGGGATTGTTTCGATTTGCTTTTTAAGGAGGGCGGGGGTAACCAACTCTTTGGTGGCCTTTTTCTGCGAAACCAAGAAGGAATTGGGCGTGTCCTTTTTGAGGGTACTTCAGTTTTGGTTGGTGTTTTCATTTTTGAGGAAAACCCACAATTTTGATCCGATTAGTCGACCATTGCCATGTCTTCAGATTTGTCCTGCTCGCTCGAAAAACCGTGAAACGGAAACCGTTGGGTGCGCCTTTTTTTAGGGAAACCCCCCTGCCCCCAAAACAGAAACAATAAATTTGAATAAGCAATGGGGGTGTTCCTATGGTTTCCCTTTAAAGCCACCAAAAACGGGGGCACCAAAAGAAAGCGCACACATCTCAGTGGTAAACAAACGGTTTAGACTTTCGTTGGCACATCCACGGAAGTGAGTCAAGTGGCCCTTGGCAGGTGAGTGTGGATTGTGTATCAAGAGCCGATCTTGTAATGTTGACCCCGGATTAAGAAACCCTTGTTTATTAATATGGGGGTGTCCCTGGTTTTAGTGGGGATTTATCACTTTTGGAGGGGAACACCCCCATATTAATAAACAGGGGTTTATCAATCCGGGGTCAACATTAACTGCTTAGTGGCATTCACAAGGGGTTTTGTACCCCCCATCACCCCGGCGATGCAAGAACACAAGCGAATTCACCTGTTTCGGCCGGGTTCCAATTATTCGCCAGTTCCATCTATGTCTCCACAAGGACACCTGGGCCCTAGGCTTTGTGATTTTGCTGGCTTTGTTGACTCTGTTGTCGCACCTGTGCGACCACATCACCATCGGGCAGAGGCTAGCTTTGCTTTCCCATGGTTGACAGGGTTCCCGTCGACGACTTGTTGCATGGGACTTCCTTCCGTAAGTCATCCTACGTTTGTCGAGGGGCCATGGTGGAACTCTCACAGAAGGGTTCCCAATACTTTTTGGGCGCACTTAACCTTATTGGGACTGGGCCCGTTCTGATCTTCGGTCAGTCAATGATGTTGGCGGGAGGGCGATCCACAAAACTTCGACCACGAAACCCAGACTGGATTTGTCCAGATCCTCTATAGGCATCATGAGCAACTGACAATATGATTGGGAGTTGTTGTTCAAGTAGCTTAAGCAAACACCAAGGGACGAGGTCTAGTTGTCCCATGTCCTTCATGGTAGGGTTGGGCAAAGATGTGTTTTAAGAAGCCCTGGCCCTGGCCAGAGAAGCAAACACAATGTTGTTTAACACACTCATTTCAGCTTCCCTCGAATAATGGTGGTTCTCAACAAATCGGAGGTTTGGAGGTGTGGAGGTTGGGTTGTTTCCCATGCAAACCCTGCGCAACAAACAAAGGTTCAACTCCCCAAACCAATCCAAACCAACTAAACACGTCTATTTGAACAAGGGCCTGGCTGTTTGCTTTCGGAACCGTGACCATGGCCATTTTTTTTTTAATCTCCATGCAGTCCTCGCCAACCAAAGGCAACCAACAAATCCAGTGGTTGCAAATCCTTTTGTCATTTTGCTTGGGATGGGTTTCCAGACTGCCCTTCCTCCCACTAACGCCACGGCACCTTGGCACGCCTTCTCTTCGTGGGAGTGGCGAAGAGTTCAAGGCCCCTGTGGCCTTGGGGGGCCATGGCGCCAGTTTTCAGGGAGACTACCCCCAGCTGCCCTACCGTTTTTGGGGGAGGGTTCCCCTGCTAAAATAGACTACAGAAAAAAAAAGAAGAAGTTGGTACCCTTCTTCCATCCTCTCAAATCTGGAGGACCTTGGAGGAGGGGTGCTGGGATTCCAGGCCAGATGTCGTGCGCAGTCCGATGCTATGGCTTGGACCTTGAGACTTCGCGTGGGAGGCTTCCACTAAAATCTTGGAACCCGACGGGGGGCTGACGGTTGGACCTTGGTATGGTGATACCACCAAATCCCGGTTGGAAAGCTGGGACCTTGGAACCATTTGGAACCTGACGAGTTTTCTTTTCTTTCACATCCACCATACCAAGGGTTGGACAGTTGGGAAAGCTGGCACCTTGGAACCTGACAATGTTTTCTTGTTCCCCAGCTTTCTCATGGGAAATTACAGAAATGTTGTTCCCCATGTTTTTGTTCCCATCAATTTTAGTCCCAGCCTCGTTTTTGTTCCCCACGGAACTCCACCAAGCGGCAGCTGCATTGCACAGGTTCGACGCCAGCTTCGCCTCCTCGATCCGGGAAGCTCTCGGGGCGATGTGGAGCTCCTGGACGGCGCAAGGCAGCCGCGTCGTAGCCCTGCCCTGGCCCCGTTCCCGTTGCGTCCATTGGGCAAATTGACCGTTCCACGCAGGCGGCTTCCCCGGGCGCATTTAAACCACCCAAAGGGTGGGTTTTGAGTCGGACATGTGGAACTTGCTGAAATGAAGATGGCGGTTTTTTCCCTGGGAGTTGTTCAGGGAATCGGATTCGCCGCATTGCGATATGATGTTCGTGAGGTTTAAGCAAATGGACGCATGTTAGCTTCGGACTGGTCGATGTGGGTTCGGGAAATTGTGGTTTTCGGTTTTCCTTTTGGCGTCCCTGTAAACCAAGCCTAAAAGGGCACCCTCAAGAAAAGACATTCTGGGGAATCTTTAAGCCCAACCCGACAAACAGGAGTTCCTCAGACCAAGACACACGCACAGACACACCCATTCATCTTCTCGAATGGGATGCGCGCCCCAGATTGGGGGTCTCCCCCCCGGCCCCCGCCGCTATGGTGATTCAGGGAGGGCATTGCGGAAGACAGTTTAAGATCCCCGCTCCCGTGGCCGCAGCCGGGCTTTTGTCCTTTTGGTTTCCTTTTTGTTGGTACTCATTCTCACTTTCTGAGTCTATGGCCTTTATACTTTTGGGGAAGACCATCTGAGTGGCAAACAAACAGTTTGGTCACCTTTTTGGGTCAACCCACTCGGAAGTGAGGGTTCTTTGGGCAACAGAGCCTGGAAACTGGAGTCCGCCCTTCAAAAGACCGTGACCGGGGCCTGGTGGAAGGTTGCTGACTGCTTTGGCCGCCACTCTTTGTCATACCAGCGCAATCCCACATTTTTCGAGGTTGGCTTGAAAGTCATTCAGTAGTCATGGTTGGAGCGGTTGGAGGACAACCACTTTCTCATTGCAGGAAAGCGCAACCATGTTCTAATGGAAAGGAGAACAAAACAGAACCTTCATTTGCGTAGGTCATGTGGTTCAGAAGACCTGCACCGGTCATTGTGTTGACTGCTTCTACAGATTGTCAAGTCAGAAACTGGGGTGGTGTCCCTTTATCCGTCCTCTTGGGTGACATTGATAGCGGAAAAGTCATGCGGCCACTTATTGTCCCTTCTGGTACGCCCCCGGTCCTACTGAGTCTTTGCTCATCTTCCCCACAGTCTAGAGGCTCATAGATCTGTTCATTTTCATGGCGAGCTTATGCGGAGGTAAAGCGAGCTTACCATGATGTTCTTGAATTCCTTGGGAAATATGCTGTTGGAATATGGTTTTCTTGAAGTATACCATATGTCCAACCGCTTGAATTCCTTGGGGAAATATGTCCAACAGCTTATCATGATGTTCTTGTATTTCAAGCTGTTGGACATATGCTTTAAAACAAAGGGGGGATCGAGCACAACTCCCGGGTTGACTACCTGTCTAGGGGAAGCTTTCCCATTCTTTCCAGGGATCCTTCTTTTCAGTCAACCATAAAAGTGATCGGTTTGAAAAGAACGATGGTAAAAAGGAATGGTTGGAATCAACCCCTCCAATTTTGAGGGAACCCCTTGCTTAAGGTCCCTGAGGAAAAAACCCTCAAGTGTCGAGGGAACTCCTTTTGAGGTCATCCTTATTAATCTTAAAAAAAAGAGCAAAAACAACGGGAAACCGAAATCCAACTTATATATCCACCCCTTAAAGGCGGGGGGCAAACATTTGTGCCATGCAAACCGCGCAGGTGGCCGCATCCGCTCCTGGACATTCCTCTTGACACGACCCAAGGCCATCCAAGAAACCAACGTCTGAAATCTCAGGAGCCCAGAAACCCAGGCAAAAAAAAGAAAACAACACAGCGTTTTTGTTTTTCAATCAGCTTGGTCGAAATCAGATGGGTTCGATTGGTTCTGCCTATTGGGTTTCTGCATCCTAGGAATTGCCAACGGAACCCTGTCGGAAGTTTTGACTTTGTTTGTCGCCGATTTTCGCTGCGAGCTGACCAGCTCTTGCAGCCTTGTCAGGCGAACAAGCTTTGATGTACAAAACTCAAAGCTACACACATGTGTACTGGGCGCGTGCTCTATCAACCTGTAAAGATGCATGTGCAAATTCAAAGCAATCGGAAGATGCCTGTCGCTGTGAAGCTTTCCGACGGCACGATTTGTATAGACGGATGTCATAGGTGGACTACCTAGTCATGCGCGTGCCTTTGGGCAATCCGATCCTAAAGTTGAACCATTTCGGCCTTCGCTGAATCAGCGGTGCGCTGAAGCAACATGAATCGACTCAGCGCGGCTTGTATTTTTGGCGATGTGGGTGAATCATACTTCTCGCAGCTCGGGGTCTTTAGCTGCTTCCTCAAGCAGCACGCTTTTATGTTCACATGGTTTCGCCCACTGCACTTTTTGGTCAGGGCGGGAATAGGAGGGTCTTGCCCACTGTGAGCTCCCTGTAAAAGTGAAGAAATCGTCATGAGGGCCTTGTGCTACGTGGGCAATTGACAGTGCCCTTCTGCAGATCAACATGAGACCCGCAAAGCCATCCTTTGAAACTCCTCCTGGGTGACACCCGTGGGTTCCATGTTTAAGTTTGTGGAGGAGAACAAAGACCAAAATGGAAACAGAGGATTTGTTGCTTAGCCTACCTGCGATGATTCAGGAAACCCCGTGGTGGTTCCATTTGCTGACTGGGATTTGAACCTGTTCCTCTTGACTCCTTGCTTGCCAATAAATCGGATGAGCTGCAGAACCCTCCCCTAGTGTCTACGTTGTTTGCGCACCCCCTAAAAGGACCTGAGCCAAGTGTCGTTTTTTTTCCCTGAATGCATGAACCAATGGAATTGAATGTCTTGTGGAGAACCAAACAAGTCGTTTTGCATGAGTCAACGGAATTGAAGGTATTTTGGATAACTCAACATGGAACCTTGTTCCAGAAGCTCGCCCGTTACCTATCGATGCTGGGTGAAGCTTTAGACCTCACACGACCGAATTCACCCCAAATGGCGGTTTATGTGGGAAATAGCCCCCAACTACCTTCCAGACACAAGTGGTTGCTGTGCTTGTTCATTTCACCACCCCCAAAGTCCCTAATTAAAGGTCGTGCAAGTCAGAGACCCGGATCCTGGCACGGTCCTCCACCTTTCGCTCGTCTCAGAAAACCATCCGCGCTTGCAGGTACGTGAGGCTGAATCGCGATCGGCCGCGCTCCCAGCCTCAAAAGCCGCCCAAAAAAAGGTGCAAGGCTTCAACCCCCATGAACATACTGCTATTGGGTTGGATCTTTAGACTTTATCCTTTTGGATTCCCTTCATATTTCCTTTTAACCAGCAAACAGTTAAGTTAAGCTTTTTGCTAGGGGATCTACAGAACCCAAGTATTGACATACTGGTTGACCATGTTGGCCCAACTTAGATGAATCTCCTTAGGTAAACAATGGTTATGTGAAGCCCCCCCATTGTTTTAGCGGCGTTTGGAATAAAGGGGAACGCTGTTACTGCTTGGTTTCAGGAGTTTTCGGTCGCGCGAGTTTCAGGGACCTCACAACTTTTTTTGGCAAGCTGACTGTCACCCAGATGCCTGTGGACTTTCTTTGTGTAGCTCTGATATATCGAAGGGAACCTAGAGAGAACCTGTGTTTGGACTCCTGTTCGGAAAAAACTAATAACAATATGATAAAAATAATAATAACCAAAACATGGAGTGAATGGAGTGTGGCTATCAAGTATCAAGAACCTGTTTTTTGGGACTCCTGTTCGGACAAACAGAAAAGCCCATATAGCATGGAGTGTCGTGAAAGAATCTGAGGATCCCCCACCTCCAGACCCAAATTTGGGCCCGCGGCTGAAGCGGTCGCGCGAGGATGCGAGGGAGCAACGGCCAGGATGAGGCGGGGTCAGTTTCCCATGGGCTCTTTGGACGCAGCGAAGCCGAGATTTTGGGGGTCCCATAGTTTCGGGAAGCACCCGGTTCCGCCGAAAGAACCCTGCGATCCACGACGTGTTTTTCCAGGGCCCGGGTATATGTCGAAACAAAAATGGGGTTTCCATGGAACATGTCTGTTTTAGTCAGGGTTTGACATCGTATCAGCAAGAAAAAGAGCAAGTGCTTTTTGCGCGAAGCGTAGCACATAATTCTAAGCTCTCCTCTAATGGAGGACCTAGCCTTACGTGGTTCTGTGTTCTGTTCGATTTTTCCAGCCCCAGTGGCCTACCTCACCTCACCGGGCTCCAAGCCGGAAGGGGGAAGCTGATAAAACCTGTGTGGCGCCCTGTCATCTCTTTGCTTCCATTTGCTTCAGATTGTTTTTTTCCCCCTGTTGGTTTTAAAGGGACTCCATCACAACTATATGTTTTGTTTTTTTTTCCCAGGGGGCTTAAGCAAATGGAAGTTCGCGGGTGCCCTTTTTGGGTCGTGTTGAAGGGAAGCGGCCCCTATAAAGGGGAAAACACATGACCCAACTGCGCCGCCAAGCACATTCTGTGGTCCTGAGATTTGTGCGAGCAAAGGTCACGCATGCTGGTTGACCCCGAAAATTAATACCGCCCCCAGCTATTCATCAGGGCTCCTGGTCCGCGTGGAAGAAAGGATTCACTAAAAAGACACCCCCCCTCCAAGAAGTCGGGGGTTTATGAATCAGTGTTTTGTTGAGGGTACCCTTTTTGGTTGGTCTTATAGGGACCCCAGAAGGACACCGTTGCCATTTGTATGAGGTACGGATTCCTATTTAAAGACACACCCAAAGGTCATTTTTTGACCCAGGATAACCCCCTAAGAACAAAGTTGACCCCAGTTCAAGTTGTTTACCTTTATGTTTATATATATATATATATCGGGGGAGTTCTTAGTGGCTATTGCTATACGTTGCCGACAACTTAGCTTGGGCGACTCCGAAGCCCAAGTAAGGGTCACTGAGGGTCCCTGGTTTGCAAGCCTGCAGGCCTTCACCGCTTTGAGCGCCCTCTACGAGGTGCTGCTCAATGTCACGGCGCTGCCCTCGATCGGGGGGGCGCAACGGGTGCTTCGAAAGCAGCCGGGGTCCCTTTGAAGCCAGGTGATGGTGGTTTCGCAGGGGATATGTTTGTTGGTTTTGCCTGTGAAGCAATAGTTCCCTCTTAAAAAAAAAAAAAAAAGCAGGCAGGACCTGGGGAACTGCTGTGCCTGCCTCCATCGAGGATTGGTTGCAGCACTTGAAAGAGAGACCCCTGGAAGGGGAAGCCAGTGCCCTTTGATATCTTTCTGGGTTGAACCCGCAAAAGGCCTGCGAAAAAAAAGGCACACCAAGGACCGGTTGTGTTGTCTTTGTCGGTGGCCGGAGAACAGCTTGTGTCTTTTAATGCGGGTGCTGCACCCAGCTTTGGAACGGTAGGTTAAGTGGTTTCACGCGGGGAGGTTTGTAGCAAAGGTTTGGAGGCCTTCCTATCACGTTTTTGGTCCACACTCCCGGCGATTCCATGGAAGCTCCCCAATTGGCCTTTGTAAATGGCACCGAGTTTTCCACAGGGGTCCTGGCAGCTTCCATCGCCAGGGGCAGGGTACTTAAGCCTTTTGAAGGTTCTCACCGGGCGGCTCGCTCTAACAAGAGATGACCACGCTTGGCTTAAACTGTGTGCTTGTGTTTATTTGGTGTTCCTCTGCAACCATATTTATTGTCCTCCACACTATTTTATATGTTTCGGTAGGCAGGGCCATGACCAAACATTGATGTTTTCCATGCTTAGCTGTGTTTGTGCGACTAGGAACCTTACTTCAACACTTGCACATCCGGCGGCCCCTGGCCGGCTCTGCCGGTTTTTATTTGGAATTCCTGCGGGACTTAGATGTTGAGTGCTCCCTTTTTGTTCTTCACTTTTTTAAGCAGTACCACAAGATGGCATAAATATTGCCACACACACATACATACATACATACATACATACACACACATACAGGCACACACACATACATACATACATACATACATACATACATACATATGCATGCATGCATGCATGCATGCATGCATGCATGCATGCATACATACACACATACACACATACACACATACACACATACACACATACACACATACACACACACATACAGACAAAGAAACAGACAGACAGACAACAGACAGACAGACACAGACAGACAGACAGACAGACAGACAGACAGACAGACAGACAGACAGACAGACAGACAGACAGACAGACAGACAGACAGACAGACAGACAGACAGACAGACAGACAGACAGACAGACACGCATACACACATACACACATAAACATCAATAATAACACATAAACACACATAAACATACATAAACATAAATAAACATACATAAACAACACAAACACACATACGTACACACATACATACATACACACATACATACATGCATGCATACTTACATACGCACATATAGACATATATACATATATACATACACACATGTATGCATGCGTGCATTCACACATACACACATGCAAGCACAACATAACATAACATATAATTTAACATACACTGGCGCAAGCTAACACAACAATGACATTACATCCTGTACATCACATTACATTACATTACATTATGCACATACATGCGTTGGCTGCGCCGGGCGTTGCCCAGCAGGCTGGGCCATGTCAGTTTCTGCTGAGTTCGCGCTAGCTGTTTGCACGTCCTTTTTTGTTTGCCAGGGGTCCATCTTCAGTCCGCGCTTCAACTTGCCCAAGTACAACGGCCAAGATTTGCAGGCCATGTCCTGGCATTCCTCAGAGTTAAGGCTTTCTTTGTCATTTTCACATGTAGATGGACGCCTCAATGGAGATAGTGCTCACGCGTTCGGACGCGGAGTGGCTGGAGC